ATACATGTTGCAAGGTTATTACCGTAAACTTAAAACTAATCCTTAAACTAAAACTAGCAGTGAAATGCACTCATTAACTGAAAAAACAAACAAAAATGACACAAAAAGTGAAAACTTTCATGTTCACTGCAAAACTAGCTAAAACAAAATAGAATTATTGAAAAAAAAAACCTTTTCTCAATTTTGATCGAGTGTGTGAATGTACTAATGTCATTAAAAAAAGTAGTGACATTACATTCCCTGGCAATAATTTCACACTCCCTTGCAAATGTTTGGCATTCCCTCACAATCATTTTTCACTCTCTTGCAGTAATTTTAGCATTCCCTCACAACAGCTTTTGCAATCTATCCAGTTTGCAACCATTCTATTGCATTTGCAAAGGAACACAAAACTATTTTAAGCGAAGGCTAAACATTTGTGAGGGAATGCAAATCTATTGCAAGGGAATGCAAAAAGTTTACAATTTAATGCAAAAATATTCCAAAGGAACATTTTTTGCAATGGCACTTTAGGGGCTCAGTATGAACTGTGACAGTTTAAAAGTGGATGGCTTTAGTGTTTGGCTGTCTTTAGGGAAAGCTAGAGCATTTATTATAATACCACAAAGTAAAACCTTTCAGAAAACAAAAATAAAACTATTAATGCAGCCTTAGAACAAACTGAAAAACTAAATAAAAATAAAAACTAATGAAAAATTCAAGGTCTCACTTTATTTGGATAGTCCACTATAGTCCCCTATAGATCTACAGATGTAATATATATGTAGATATAATCTCTACAGTTGTTCAAATTGTTAACAAACTATCTGTTGGAACTCTGAACTGTACTCCACTATCGGATATGGCAGCAACTGAGAGTTAAAAAGGCAGCATTTCAACATTTCAATAAAAATTTCAATGAATCTTTGGTCATATTTTTTAAAATATATACCTGAGATATTTTGTGCATATGCAAAAACATTATTTAACATTATTTAATTAAAGATCTTTTTTTATATTTATGGTATCGACAGTGAATTGCTGGCTTCTGAGTTGCTTTACAGCAACTCTGTAAAGGGTCTGTTTAACTTATTTTCACAAATAAGTCAGCAAACTTGCAAACGTTTGCATATGACTGTGCACTGAATAAAGTTTAAGTCAGAGGGTCTTGTGCTCTTCTAAGCAGTGGTGTAGATTCATGCATTGTCTACACAGAGAACAGTATAATGTCAGATTGTAGCGTATAATGCTCATTTGGGGACATCTGGCCAGTAAGTCCTGCTTTATCCCTGCACTCAGGTCTATACTGGCTCTATAGGTCAGATAAGCCTTGAAACCGCACAACATACAGCGGCCAGGGATTATAACCTCCAGCATCCACACACACATCTGCCCGTGTGCTTACGTAACTGACCGTCTCCTAAACAAGCACAGGTCAAATGTCAGGCTTTTGTGTTTCAGTGTCACCCCATCTTACTTTCTGCTGCATTTATTTTTACTAAAGCCGTTCAGGCTCCAACAGAAAACAAGCAGTTTGTTGTAGTTCATTGAGGGGGTTATGGATGTTGTAGTTCATAGAATTTGATTTTGGATGTAGTTTTGAGTGTGATTTTTTTGTTGTAGTTTATTGAGTGTGATTTTGTTGTAGTTTGTTGAGTGGGATTTTGGATGTTGTAGTTTATTGGGTGGGTTTTAGATACTGTAACTTATTTGGTGTAAACTTGTAGTTTATTGAATGTCATTTTGTATATTATAGATTAGCGAGTGTCACTTTGTATATTGTAGTTTATTGAGTGTCATTTTGAGCGTTGTAGTTACTGAGTGTCCTTTTACATGTTGTAATGTATCGAGTCTGTTCTGAATGTAGTGTATTAAGTCTGCTACGGAGGTTGTAGTTTATTGAGTGGGATTTTGGATGTTGTAGTTTATTGTGTGGGTTTTAGATATTGTAACTTATTTGGTGTCGATTTTGTAGAGTGTAGTTTATTGAGTGGCATTTTGGATGTTATATACATTGTATATTGTAGTGTGGATGTTATATACGTTGTATATTTGGATGTTATACACATCGTATATTGTAGTTTACTCTGTGGGATCTTGGATGGTGTAGTTTATTGAGTGTCATTTTGGATGTTGTAGTTTATTAAGTGGATCACAGATGTAGTTTTTTGAGTGGTATTTTGGACGTAGTTTATTAAGTGGGATTTTGGGTATTGTAGTTTATTGAGTGTGATTTTGGATGTTGTAGTTTACTGAGTGTAATCTTGTATGTTGTAGTTTTGAGTGTGAATTTGGATGATGCAGTTTATTAAGTGGGATTTTAGATATTGTAGTTTACTGAGAGTGATTTTGGATGCTGTAGTTTATTGAGAGTGATTTTGGATGTTGCAGTTTATTGAGTATGATTTTGGATGTTGTAGTTCATTGTGCAGAATTTGGTTTCTGAGCTGCCATTGTTTCACGTAAAACATGAACACAAGAGGACAGGCATTACATTACATAACATGACAATATGCATGTGACCCTATTTCCCTATACAGAGCAGCTTACACTTAAATGCATGTACACTACAGTTGAATAGTCTGCAACATCAATTATGTTTATTGTTTTGTTTAATAATCACTTTAAAGAATTTATTAAATGATACATAAAACTGCTGAAATTATTCAGTTATAGAGAATTCTTGTGAAAAATTTGAAAAATGTGATTATTAGTGTTCAAACATGAAGCATTCTGGGTATTCATTTTATTATACCTTCATGCTTGATGCTATACAGCCTTCTCAGTGATTACAGAACCACGTATGGCTCAGTTCATTTTGGACATTTCTAACATTTCTTCCCTATTAATGAACTAAAACGTATGAAGTTGTACAATATTAGCATATTAGAATCATTTTAAACATGTATCTGCAACAAAGTTGGACCATTGAAAACAGTGATTAGTAATGAATGATTACAATTTAATGTAAAGTGCTGGAAAATGTTTGGGTCACTAAATCAAGGTTGTTACCTGATCTCATGAAGTTTTATCCCCTCGTTGATGAATATGAGAGGGATTAGCCAGAAGATGCCCAGCAACCACGTGGCCAGGGGTATGTCACTGACGTAGAAAGTGTGGTGGGACGTCAGGTCATGCCAGAGGAGTCGGGAACCCATTGCTATGGAAACGTTAAATATGGGCCTGAGGTTGTTTAAAGGTTTGCATTTTCACAATACTAAGATATTTAGTTTGACGGTGCAAAATGCACTGGGAATTTAATAAACCTATACAATTTAAATTCAGCGTTTGGATGAATTATTTAGGAAGGAAAAAGAGGGAAAATGATCGAATCAATTATTTAAATAAGATGATGTCATAATGGGGCAGCACCCGGTCAGCTACTTGTTACTAAGCAAGTACTACACTGGTTGTTGTTCTTGTTTACACAGTCTGGTCTAAATCTGTATTTATGATATATGCAGTTGTTCAGTGTTCTACAAATGTAGCTGACAAACACAATATACTAACGAAAACCCCTAATCATACACTACGTGGCCAAAAGTATGTGGACAACTGACCATCACACCCATATAAGCTTGTTAGACATCCCATTCCAAAACCATGGGCATTCATGTGGAGTTGCCCCCCTTGGCAGCTATAACTCCTCTAGGAGGGCTTTCCACAAGATGTTGACAAGATGTCCATTCAGTCTAAATAGCATTTGTGAGGTCAGTCACTGATGTTGGACGAGAGGGCCTGGCTCACAATCGATGTTCCAGTTCATCCCAAAGGTGTTCAGTGGGGTTGATGTCAGGGCTCTGTAGGCCACTAGAGTTCCTCCACACCAGACTCGTCAAACCATGTCTTTATGGACCTCGCTTTGTGCACAGGAGCTCAGTCAAGCTGGAACAGGAAAGAGCCTGTCCAGTAGTTGCCTGCTTCACACCACTCCAGCCGACACTTGGCATTGCACATAGCATTCTTAGACTTGTGTGCATCTGCTCTGCCATGGAAACCCATTTCATGAATCCTTAGATTCACAGTTTTTGTGCTGATGTTGCTTCCAGAGGCACTTTTTAACTATAATGAGTGATGCAGCAGACATGACTGAGCTGTTGCTCATAGATGCTTCCTTTTTACAATAACAGCACTTACAGTTGTCTGGGGCAGATCTAGCAGGGCGAAGATTTCACAAACTGACTTGTAGCATCCTATGACTATACATTTTTAAAGTCAGTGAGACCATCAGTATGACCCCATTCAACTGCCAGTGTCTGTCTGTGAAGACTGCATGGCTATGCGCTTGATTGCGTACATCTGTTAGCACTAAGGGTGGCTGAAACACCCGAATTCAATAATTAAGAGGGTGTCCACATACTTTTGGCCATATAGTATATTTGCATGTGGCAAATACACCATCTTAAAAATATATACTGAAAGTTATTTAATTGCATACAACTAAAGCAAATCATGGTTTATTATCATGTATCACATGGCTGTGTTGTATATTGTGTCGAATATTTGTAAATGTAAAGGTATTAAAACTCACACAGTGCACACGACCGCACACCAGCTGTGGTTACTCAGTGGGCTTTGCTTCCACATGGGGGCTGAGCGATGGACATGACTGACAGATGTGCACACTATTACACACAAGCACGCACACGCACACAAATACACACACACGCAGAGCACTTTAGTATTTGAGGCCGTTATAATAGTGACTTCCTTTCATTTCCATTCTCAGACTGTTTGTGAAATCATATAGAATTCCCTTAAAAATACAATCTATATGAAAACAGCATTTTAAATAACTCATATTTCTCATATAGCACATTTTACATACTTGTTTCTATGCTCATTGCCATATTTTGTTTTTTTCGCTGAAACGAGGATATACAGTAAAACACATATAATGAAATTATAAAACCCTTAAGATTCAATTTTAAAGTGCCAAAAATATTTTATTTGGATTGGATTTCAACATATCTATGATACACTGATACAGACAAAAGCCCAGACCACTTAGAAGTACATTTTTACTCACTAGCGTAGAGCAGCACAAGGAAGGCGATGACTTTCTGTGCTAGAGACAGACCATCAGAATGTTTGCCGTACCAGTCTGGAGACCACACTGTTGAATTCCTGAAAAATACATTCATGCAAAGCACTGTCTTAAAAAATTTGGCAAAAAGCAAATTTACACAATTTCCCACTTACACTAGACGTAATTGAGCTGAGGCATGTTTGTTCTTTAGTTTAGCATTGGAGCTATGAGGCTAACAAACACTAGATGTCAATAGTCACCGAAAACTTCATCTTCATCTTCTTCTTGTAGCTGGACGCTGCATTTATTTTATATAGGTGAGCCACATTTTGCCTTCCCGGCATAATCCGACTCCCCTTCATGTGCATTCAGATCATACAGGAATGTGGACGATAGATTATGCAAGATTTCTGTTATGTCTTTCTATAGACATATACAAGAGTAATACTTATGAAAATAAACAACAGAAACTGCAAATGTAACGTGTGGCGTCAGTATGCCTACCTGATGTGTGTGCTACGAGTCAGAATTCATAATGAAACCTGCTGTTCTAAATTACTGGAAGTTTTGTTCATTTTTATAGTTCACAGTAATTCATATGTTTCCTAAACCACATTACTGAAGACCTGCATGTGGTTTGAGTGGTTTAAGAGACATTTTGAGGATGTATTTACCAAAAAGACTTGGGTGACTACTAACTTCCAGTGTTTGTTAGCAACATTAGCCTCATAGGTCTAGTTTAAAACTAAAGAAGCTAAATTTGGACACTTGGTTAAGGCTGTTGGTCATTGTGTTGGGTTATTTCCACAGTCTTGTGTAGTCTTTGGTTAGCCCAGCTGCTAACAACCCAGACTAAGAGCTAATTTTCAAAAAATAACAGCGCCGGTTATGATAGAGTCAGTTAAACTGCTTCACACCAGGCAGCAGCACAAAAGCATCACTGACATTAATCATACTTTCATAAAATATAGACATTTCACTACTTATTACTAAGTGAAACCAATAAAGACACATTTTAAGACAAATCTACATTATAAACCTGCAGTTTTTCCTGAATGTGAGGAGGAGCTGACAGGACTAGCTAGCGTTAGCTTGCTATGTTTGTTTCCACTGTCTTACTGAAGGGTAACTGGAAGTTGTCGCCCATTATATGACATTTGTTGAAACATAAACCTGGATATTAGATCATTTTTAAGCGGAATTTGATGTTATCTGCCTAATATTTTTATTGCAGTCGGCTAGCGTTGCTAAGGTAGCTGACTAACTGTCTTATATAGCTAGGTTATAGCTAAACTAGCTAGTTAGCCAAACAAACTTGGTTAACCTAGACTTATATCACCTGTCTTGTCTTCGTGTATGTCTTACTTTGGAGGCATCATTGTTTTTTAAGTGTTGCTTTTGGCATTGGGGCTAATTTTGAACATATTTGCACACATACACTATATACGTACATTAGCAGAGCTGTTGGGTAGCAGAGCTTTTCATCTTCATGGTTTATTTCGAGGCAGAAGCCGTGCAGAACGAGGCCAAAGCATGTTAAGTAGATGCACACAGTCAGGCCAAACTTCACCAGGAAGCACAGCATGAAGAAACGTAGGGTCTGCAGAGGATCAACAACATTGGTTATTCCTTTCTAATGCTACTTTGTACTCATTTGACTGAACAAATACTTGGCACTGAAATCAATGCACCTCGCTTACTTTAAATCCCTGCACATCAGTTTTAGAAGCAGTTACGAATTTGACCAGTAGATGTCAGTCTTCTACAAAGGTACACCATGGACAGTTTCAGCATCAATATTTTACATATATTGGCTCTAATAGCGCCATCTTTTGGCACTCATCCATTTGTGCATATTGTGAATTTGCTTTTTGTATAATGTGGCCCTGTTTTAAAAACACTGGACATTGAAAAGTTCAGAACATTTAATCTACTTTTGGAAAATAATCCCAGTTTGGTTATTTGATGTGTGTCAAATTTGGAGTGGTTTGTAAAAATAGATTTTCAATTTTTTGTACAGTTTCTTTGTGTTCAAAATGGAAAATACAATGAAAGATGTCAGAAAATGAACACTTGAACTGTGTTTGTACCTTTTTTGGTAGGAATCTCAGATTTTTCCCTGTAGGAACTTTCATGATGGAACTGTCAGATGGCTTTCCCAGCAAGGACACACTAAACAGACAAGTCAAAGAAGTCAAATGACTGGCAAGGAACTGTCCAGGGACATCTTGAGTCCAGAATCTATGTTACAATACAGCTAAAGCACTGACCAAGAAAGCGCTGGGTTTAGTACATTATTTTCAAGATGATAAAAAAATATATTCATTAGCTTCTTCATATTCCAGTATCTAAACAAATATGTGTGTGTGTCCGTTTGTATTTTGCTCTTTGTGGGGACAAAAAGTCTCTTGAATGATGGAAACCATGAACATTTTGTTCAGGGCCTGATCGATATATCGTTTGGCTGAGCACTGTTATTGAGCTTGCTGAGCCTCATTGGTCAACATATCACATATAATGCGTCAATTTTTTCAGTCTCAGCTTCTCAAAGTGAAAACTTATAATCTCCTAATAGCTGTTGTACCACCCAATATGAGCCCTCCAGCACTGACCTTCATATCACTAATATAGGCAGAACACTATTATGGTTAAAATGACAAAAATGTATTCAAATGTAACCTTTAGCATCAGAATAATATTTAATAATAATAATAACACAAACTACCTTTTATGAAGGGGACTAATGAAATATTTGGCCACTGCTGCTCAAATGACGTTGATTTCCTAAGTGAAAATGAGTTAACGCATCCTCTACAGAGTCCAGCGCAGTTTTGTGATTTCCCTGCTCTAGCACACCAGGCAAACCTGATCATTAACTGATGAGTTCAATCTGGTGTGCTTGAGCAAGAAAACCACCAAACTGTGCAGGAATTTATTTCTCCAGGACTGGAGTTTCTCACCCCTACATTCTATTGCTGAATTTAACATATTGGGGAAAAGTAATGCCTGTGCAAAAGTTCATTTGCAAAAAAAGGCCATCATATTTGTCTGAAAAGCACTATTTACCTCAGGGGTTCCCTGTAGTACCCTGCCTTGCACATTTTGCTGTCTTTCCTGCTCCCAACACACCTGATGCAACTTATGAGCTTATTAACGACCCTTTACCAAGTTTTAGAGTTAAGGCCAGTCCCAAATGCTGCCCTAAGCCCTGCAGCTGCCCTCAGCCCTTCATGTGCCACAAGCAACTCAATGTTTTTTATGCACAGTATCTGAATCCAGATTACAGGCATAATTCAGCTCAATTACAAGATAAATTAATACACAAATGTTTTCAATCACATCTGAATATCTTCCTGTAGGTGAAACCACTAACTTTGATTGGCTTGCCCGTGTTGTTGTGCTCCTCGCTGAAGGCTGCGTTAAGGGTGCATAGAAGGCACTACTGAGCATCCTTCTAAACAGCAAAATGAGAAATGGGACCCCAAACAGCTTCATGTATGTACAATTGTGGACTGCAGGACTGTGAGTACACCACTTGGGGCTGGGCTTTAGAGCACAGAAAACTGCTACTCCAGAACCTGGGTTGGGAACCTGTGGTCTAACCGAAATGGCCCATATTTTGACATTGTGGGGACTTTTTTTTGTTGTTGTTTCTGTGTTTTGTTTTGTTTTGTTAGAAATGCAGCTTCAGTTAGAAAAGTAAACAGTTCTTGGAGATACATTTAGATTTTGATTAAGTGTAGCATAACACGTAACTCACTTAAATACAGAAAGCACACAGAAGGACCTCATTATGTTAGGAATACAAACTTGTGTGTGTGTGTTTATGCACACCTGAGAATAGGGAAATATAAACAAGAGAGAAAGAGGACATCACTGGTAGCCAGAGGAGGAGGCAGCTGGCACACACTCGCCAGAATCTGCGGTGACACACACACACACACACACCGGTCACAGTTCTACACAGAACCAGCCTTAAAGAGAGAAGAACGTTACAGTGATTTTCAGCCAAACCAGTTTTAACCTATTTCCCTGTAGTTTAAAACTGGGATTCTCAACCTTTTCTACCTAAAGGCTCACTTGTTTGTCACTAAGGCCCACAAGAAAACAAGACTCAGACCCAAACTTTTTACTTAACCTCATTTTTGGGAGATTTTTAGCAGGATGTATTCACTCCTGCAGTATGTAACATGCATCAATGAACATTATTGTTAAGTCAATTCTTATTTTATGGTACTGCCATCTCAGGCCCAGAATGGACCACTGGCACCCCCTCAGTATTGGCCTGAGGACCACTAGAAGGTGTCTCAAGGCCCACTCGTGGCCACGGCCCAATGGTTGAGAAACACTGGTTTAAAAAACACCACAAAAATGTTGTTTCAAAACTCAAATCCAAAAGAAGCCACTGGGCAGTTGTTTAATTCTGTAATTAACATGTATTCAGAACGTGTATTCTTCTAGAACCCATGTAGAACTTCATGTATTCTACAGTCTGAGGTGTTTAGTTTTCCACAGGGAACAATTTGTGGTTTGTGAGTTTTGTGAGTGGGGTTTTCCCAGGTGTGTGATTCGGTATTAGCATAGACAACCTTCACAAACTCCTGTTTGATCATAAAATGGTACCAGAAATCGCTTTTATTCAGTTGGCCCAGTGTTTGAACTGTGATGAAATTTTTTTTTTAAAACATTTTTCCACGTCTGTCTCATCCTAAAACATGAATTGTGTTGTAATGTTAATGGTTGTATTTTTGAATTTTGTTTTTGTTTTATATGCGTAGTAAACTTTAAATGAGTTTTAGATGCCTTTAACTTAGAGTCATGTGGAAAAGTTAGATGCTCTGATGGTGAAATTATATGTTTAGTTGGCTTTTTTCAGTCACATCCAATTTCATCCACTAGTAAGGACCCCCCCAATCACGTGATACCACCAGCATTAGGAGGGCGAAGGCTAGCATAGGCTTCCTCCATCAACTGTGAAGCACCACCACATCTTTTCAAACTGCTGCTAACGCAACGTCATTGGACAGCTGAACGTCATTGGAGGTAAACACTGCCCGAACGATCGCTGCACTGCCTAACATCGCGCTGAGTGATGTGGGATTTTGGGGGTCATCGAACCCACCCAGAGAGAGCGAGGCCAGTTGTGGACTCCTGGCCACGGATGGCTGTAGCATCACTGGGGGTCGAACTTGCGATCTCCTGATATCTTTAGTTGATTTTAAAGTGAAAATAAGTTCTTCCAAAAGTGTGGCCTGTGCAAAAGTTATGGCACCCCTTTATATTTTAAGTTTTTTGCCCCAGTATATTAAAATCAAAATAAATAAAAGTTATGCACTACAATTGTTTTATAAAGTGGAGATTTAGGTCTGATCCCTATATAGGATGTTTGCTCTTATTTTTACTTAGAAAATCACAAAAAATGTCATTTGATGGGGCACCCAAACTTTTGCACATGACTGTATTTGAAACGCTAATTCACAAAATTAAAAACTGACCAGTGGCTTCTATCGGTGTCTTTCTAGTCGACAGATTTTCTACTCTTTTCTAATCCAGAGCAGTAAATGGGGAAACTTTGTCGGTGGTAATTTAGTTTACGCTACATTCCGTTAACCTCCTAAACTCCCAGGCTTATTACTTACTAAGGCTTATTATTCAGTAACTACAGGGACTTTAATGTAAACTGGTTGAGCTGTTCTTAGATTATAGAAGTGTGTTATAAAACTTTGGGACGTGTCTGTGAAGGAGGCACCTGGATCAGAACGAGGGAGAGCTGACACTGTAGGAGAAACAGAAAGCACTTCCTGATACCAGCTGTAATGTGTCGAGCCTGAGAATCAGAAGCAGAAACTTCTTTATTATTACAAGAAATATATCAAAATAAAAACACAACACAGTCAACAAATACCATAAAAACGTGAAAAGGGGTGTTATTGTACATACATGGTTATATGTGTGCAATGATAAAGTCAATTCATTTAAAGATGTGAGCACAAATTACTGCAGTTGCATGCAAAAGTTTGGGCGCCCCTGTCAAATTATTATTATTTTTTTCTCAAGTGAAAATAAGCTAAAAGATTCTCTACAGAGACACACTTCTGCATGCACATATTTAATACACAATTATTATTTGTTTGCTGAATTTAACATTAAAAACACATACAATTAAAATGTGGCCTGTGCAAACATTTTGGCACATTTAATATTTTAAGTTTTATTTTTTTCCAAAAAATTGCAGAAAAAAATGCAATTTATGTGCTCTCAGTAGAGGATGTGTTAACTTATTATCAACAAAACATGTAATTTGACTGGGGGTGTTTAAACTCTTGCATATAGCTGCATGTATATGTATTATGTGGATATATTATGTACAGGGTTAGCAATAAGCATGTTAAAGTACATAAGCAGGTCTACTAAGTGTAAACAGGCTTTCTGTTTTGTTTACGTCTTGGATTTATTGTCTGGACATACCTGCTTGATGAGTTTGATGACCGTGCTGTTGTCCTGGTGGTGGAGCTGCACTGTACAGGCCAGCCCACAGATGGCGCTAGAGAGCTGAGCCAGACTTCCAGAGTCTCGGGAGTGTGACGGCCTCTGAGGGGCATCGGAACTGGACTGAGTCCACGCGGGAGCCAGAGGCTCTAAAGCAATACTGTTCACCATCAGGACAGAACCATGATGCTGCTTATGAGTGGCAGATCAGGTGAAGAAAGAAAGGAGCTCAAGCACAACAGTGATGACTAAAAATAAGATGAAAGATCACATCACCTAATGTCGCTCTGCAGGAAGATGCCATTGTTATTGATGTTCTGACTGCTCCCAAGGCAACACACAACTTCTCCATACTCCTGCATGATACACACCATCTCACACTCAGCTACAGTGCACACACACACATACACACACACACACACACACACACACACACACACACACTATCAGGTAGAGCAGAAAACATTGCCTTTTTATCTCCTTCTCTGCTTCTAGCAGCAGTATGTCAAATATTCACTTGGTATGTTGAAATAATAACTTATAATGTCAAAATATTGACATACTATCACAAAATAATGACTTACTTTCTTAAAATATTGACTTAGTATCTTGAAATAATAACTTGACTATTGAAATATTAACATAATATCACAAAATGACTTATTTTTTTGAAATATTGACTAGTATCCCAAAATAATGACTTACTCTTTCTTTCTCTTTCTCTAAATATTTACTTAGTATCTTAAAAAAACTAGAATATTTTCTTGAAATATTGACTTAGTATATTAAAATAATGACTTGTTTTGTCAAAATATTGACATACAATCACAAAATAATTGCTTACTTTCTCTAAATATTTACTTAGTATCTTAAAATAAAACCTAATTTTTATGAAATATTGACCAGTATGTTGAAAATAACTTGTTTTTCCAAAATATTGACATAATATCACAAAATGACTTATTTTCTTGAAATATTGACTTAGTATCCCAAAATAATGACTTATTTTTCCAAAATATTGATATTTAGTATCTCAAAGTAATCAGTTATTCACTTGAAATATTGGCTTAGTATCTAAGAATGACATACGATGTCAAAATAATGACTTAGTATTCTGTAATAATGACTTATTATTCAAAAACATGCAGACACACACAGATTCAGGGTTACTTTTTTCTATGAGATAATAACAAAATATTGACATACTATCACAAAATAATGACTTATTTCTTAAAATATTGACTTAGTATCCCAAAATAATGACTTACTTTCTCTAAATATTGACTTACTATCTTAAAAAAATCATTTTCTTGAAATACTGACTCAGTATATTGAAATAATGACTTTCTTTTTTTTTCAAAATATTAACATTGTATCACAAAATGACTTTTTTTTTATATATATTGACTAGAATCTCAAAATAATGACTTGCTTTCTTGGCTTAGTTTTGCAAAATAATGATTTATTTTCATCTCAAAATTATTACTTTGTTTCTCAAAATAATGTCTTAAAATCTCAAAGTACTCAATTATTTTCTGGAAATATTGGCTTTATATCTAAAAATGACTTACAATGTCAGAATAATGACTTAGTATTTTGTAGGAAAGACTTATTATCCAAAAATAATCATTTACTTTCTTAAACTGTAATAACCCACTATTTTGACATTGTACATCAAAATCTTGAGAAAAGGTCATTATTTCAAAATACTGAATCATTATTTTAAGAAAACAAGTCATTATTTTGAGATACTAAGTCATATTTAACATGCTGCTGCCGGAAACAGAAACGTTGTTTCTCTTTTCTATGGCAGGAGTGGGCTACCATAGACAATACTGTCCACAAAAACTATTTTCTCAAATTATTTTCTTAAAAAACTATAATAACCCTATCCGCATACAATTTTTCTTTATATTCTTTCTTTATACTTGCTTGGCTGATTTGAAACTTGAGTGATCTTGAAATCAAACAGTCAATCATGCTATCCAGACAAGTGTGAAATGGTAAGTTTAAACAGGAAAGTCCATTACTCAGGAAGTATCTAGCAGTTTCTATAGTGCTCTTTCATTCATCATGCCTATGGCAGTTAATGCAAATATAAAAATGATCTTATCTTTGGCTTATCATGTTTAAAACCATTGCCCATTATGTGTAGGTGTGCACATGTGAGAGAGACCTACTCTGAGACGTGCAGTCTGTGAAGAGAGGGACCAGTAATGGGACGTTATCAATGTGCTCCAGGTGAGGCCGAACATTCTCAATGCCTTTAGGAAGTTTGGCCTGTAAACACAGCCAGAATACTGAACAGTTAGCTTCGTGAGTGAGAGTTGCTCAATTTTATCCCCTATTTAGTTGTGGCCAAGTCCACCCGCATGCCTGGAGAAGTGTGCTTTGAGAGGAATGCTACCTGCCAGTTCTGATATGTTGGGTAACAGATGTCCATGCTGAGTGATGGGTGTGATCCTACCTTGTCTTTTTGTGCTAACATTACATCCATAAGCTAATAACAGTGCAGCATTGCCCCCTACTTTGAGCCCTGCCATCACAAGGCGTTGGTTTGGTTTGGACAATTTTGCACTCAGTTCCCACCCTTATAAGTCTATGTTCCCACATACATTTAGCCCAGAACTTCTTATGGTTGTCCCGATATGTTCTCATTACTCAAGACCAATTATGCTTTCTTGGACTCTTCAACATGGATGGCTTGGTTTTTTGACCACAGGGAAAGGAATGACCAGATAAGTGGTGTAACCTATTTAGGAGTATCTGAGTAAGCCACTCAGGTCTTTTCTAGGCCAGTGGTTCTCAAAACCAGGGACCCCTAGATGATCCACTTTTTTGCTCCATGCCATCTTGTAACACAGGTGTGTAGAGCAAAAACATGACCCTTCTGGTTTGAGAGCCACTGTTCTGGGTCCTTGCCCCCATTAAGTAAGACAGTTCATATACACAGAGGTCATACACATACTCTATACTGCTAGCATGTGGGTCTTTGACTGGGGCACCCAGGACATATGCACTTGCTGCTGTCACCAGACACTCCATCGCTAGATCTGTAATCCCCTTAGAACTAGCAACATGTAGCATCAGGATTCTTCTGGATAATCTTGACAAGAATTGCTTTTGTAGGCATGGAGCTGATGCATTGTGATACTGACATTGTTGCCTTGAGAGAGGCACTAGGCTGGCATTGAATTCATGTGATTCAATCTCTATGATGAGCATCACTAAGACATTATTTCAGCTAAAGAACAAATCCAAAGCCCTCCGGGTACACCTATCCTTTGGTTACTGGCACTTGCAACCAGAGGATTTTAATTATGGACTTTGAATCCAGTTTCCAGACTGGGATTTTGTAGATTAGCAAGTAATTTAGCTGTTGATGTAACTGCTTGGGCAGGTATAGTCAAATACAAAATTCAGGACCTGAAGCTGGTAGTGGTGGTATGAGGGCTCACGGATTGAGGGAGGTGGGAGAAGTTGGGCTGGAGTTCTGGGTGGCTTCTGCCTGTAGCTAGAAGGCCGGACCCCCCCTTCATAGTCGTGGTAGGACTGATATAGGACTGAGGAACAGGGAGGAGATGGGGTGGCAGCGGGGATTGCAAAAACTTTGTCACAGGAACAGAAGGTGAGGATGGCAATTCATAGGGCGAAAGACTGTAAGGAGGAGGGGTTTCAGACATGGTCCTCCCCCAAACATTCGCTGTGTATGGTCAATACTCTGTAGACCAACAAGACTCCTGGTCCTGACAGCATATCTACAGAGATCCTGAATACAATGACTACTTGTTCAGTGGTCAGGACGCCATGGACCCCCACAGAGCAGGCACTATTTGGGTGGTGGATCATTCTCAGCACTGCAGTAACACTGATGTGGTGGTGGTGTGTTAGTATGTGTTGCACTGGTCTGAGTGGATCAGACACAGCAGTGCTGCTGGAGTTTTTAAACACCTCAGTGTCACTGCTGGACTGAGAATAGTCCACCAACCAAAAATATCCAGCCAACAGCGTCCTGTGGGCAGCGCCCTGTGACCGCTGATGAAGGACTAGAGGATGACCAACACAAACTGTGCAGCAGCAGATGAGCTATCATCTCTGACTTTACATCTACAAGGTGGACTGACAAGGTAGGAGTGTCTAATAGAGTGGACAGTGAGTGGACACAGTGTTTAAAAACTCCAGCAGCACTGCTGTGTCTGATCCACTCAGACCAGTGCAACACATACTAACACACCACCACCACATCAGTGTTACTGCAGTGCTGAGAATGATCCACCACCCAAATAGTACCTGCTCTGTGAGGGTCCATGGGGGTCCTGACCACTGAAGAACAGGGTAAAAGGGGGCTAACAAAGTATGCAGAGAAACAGATGGACTACAGTCTGTAATTGTAGAACTACAAAGTGCACCTATATAGTAAGTGGAGCTGATAAAATGGACAATGAGCATAGAAACAAGGAGGTGGTCATAATGTGAAGCAGTATATATCGCTTTATTGCCAACAAGATGCTATCATTGTGATTATATATAGAGGCAGGGGCAACTTATAAAGTCCAACTGCAGCAACAGCAGGTAACTTTTTAAATCACCAAAATAAGCCAAAGTGTCACCTTGGCATGTATTACTTTTGTAAGAAAGCTAGCTGTTTCACAAGGAGAAGGCAAAAATGAAGTGACCGTGAATTTTAGACAAGACAAAAACCTGTTGAATATCCAGAGGCTCCACGCTGCAACTACATTTAGATTTTAGAACTCCAGTATGCGTAACTGTCCGTTGGTGGCACCTTCATGAGAAACCCTGCGAACGGTGGTTGCTGCAAGAGTAACTTCAGTCAGGTCCTGTACAAGTGAAGATCCTCTCCTTCGTCCACTACTCTCACTTTTACCACTGAGGCAAATCCCTACCAACTACACCATTTTTCAAAAATAGGACTGTCTCTGACAATTGCATTATGTGCAGCTCTGCACATAAGATGTCTCCAGTGCATTCCTGATTATATCATAATCACAAATACTCACAAAAAAGAAGCTGCAAGAGTGTGGAGGATAATAAAACAGTATCAGTTCCACTGAAATGGCTCTATTAAATGAATGCCTGAGGACCACTTGCCACGGCAAGTCCTATACGGGCTGTTACATCAGGGGCAGTGTTCATCTGGGGGGCAAATACAGGAATCAGCTCAGGTAAGTCTAAAAGAAAGAATCTAATTCTACCTGAAACATGCTGATCTGGCTGGAAACTGCTCTGCCATAATGCAGTGTTTATGCATGTGGTATCGGCAAGAGAATATATAGTTCCCACATGATGATCTACCAAGAGGAATGATGTGTTTTATATTCTTCATTGGTCAATATCTGACCAAAGGACTGCTGTTGACTGCTGTTGACTAATTGTACCATAGTCATGGGTATTACATTTGAATTGATGTATCATACACAGTGATGTTTTTGAGGATTTTTACCTGATCTGACCATTAATAAAGGGCTAAAGGATTATTACCATAAATTAAGCATCAACAGATGAGCTACAATCTCTAACTGTACACCAGCACAGTGGAGCTACAAGACTGATCTGTGTATGTGTATGTTTTGGCTTGTCTTACCCTGTTTAAATCTTCAATCAGACATGCCCCATCATGTTCCATTGTCCTTGACTCATTAGAGTCACGTTCTCCAAGCAGACATGAATCCTCTGAGGCAGATTAAAAATGTATGATATCTAACAACTATAAACCAAAATACCGAAGCAGTTAATCTCAGTAGAGCATGACGAGGTTTAGAACTTTGTCTTACCTTCTGCCCTTTCTGGCACCTCAATGTTTTCTGGATCAAGAGGAAAGCATTCTGATTGAAGAGAGATGTGGCAGTTCCATCCCGTCTCTAGACCCATCTTTTCAGCAAATACCTAAGAAAAGGACCCAGCATTTATACCGCATATCCTGGGTATTTTTAGGTGCTCACCTACCAGACGTGTGTAAAACCCCAGCAACACTGCTGTGCATTGACACTACCGACACTGTCACTGATTTGGGAATGGTCCACAAACCAAATAAAATCTGGTCAGCAGTGCTTTTGTGGTCAGAAACTGAACAATGATGAATGTGGTAGAGAGCATATGATAAATTTTGCATGAACAGAGCTACTGTAATTGTACACCTATTCTGTGGAGCTATAAGGTAGGTAGGTGGAGCTCATGAAGGGGCCACCGGGTGAAAGTACAAGGGAGCTGTTTTTCTACATGTCATCACCTTGCTGCGAACCTCCTCCTCGTTGGAGAAATAAACAAAGCGAATGCATGCACTGTCCAGTCCTGAGATGAGCCTTATCATGTCAGGTCGTGCCTGGTACTGGGAGGAAACTAGACCTAGGAATACCTGCTGCCTGAGGGGAGACAAAGAAAGGTCCCCTACACACACAAAAAAAATACAGAATTCATATAAACACATTTTCACCAGAGTATCTACACCTTATTTCTACACATACAACTTAAACACAAATGCAAACTTGTATTAGATATAGTCCTGAAACTAATATTTCAGCAAACCTTCAGTATAGGGGGCATTATAATGTCCTTGTATTGCCTATATTAAGTCTTATCTGACCAGTAGCTAGTAATTAACCAGATGCTCATTGCTACTTTATTAAGCAACTCATGTGAAATCAAGCCAGATGTTTTAATTTAACTGAATACATTTATTTAGCAGATTAAATATGGCACTGTTGGAAATGTTGTGACTCTGTGTTGAGCTGCTAGCAAGCAATGGGGGATGAACGGGGTTGTGCAAACCTCCTGCTGTGAAAACAATCCACACTTCTCCACAAAGATGACCGTGACAAGATAAAACAGTACAACCACAGCTTTTATCTTATGAAATAATACTGCACAACTGTACACTTAAAAAAGAATTTGTTCCAATGGTCACCAACCCTGGTTGCTGGGATCTATCCCCCTGTGGTGTCTGGTTCTAACTCCACTCTTCAACTGGTTCCAACATCAATCTTTAATGGGTTCCAGCCTCAATCTTCTACTGCTTCCAACCTCAATCTTCAACTGGTTCCAGCCTCAATCTTCTACTGCTTCCAACCTCAATCTTCAACTGGTTCCAGCCTCAATGTTCAACTGGTTCCAACATCAATCTTCAACTTGTTCCAACCTCAATTTTAAACTGGTTCCAGCCCTAATCTTCAACTGGTTCTGACCCCAATCTTCAACTGGTTCCAACGTAAATTGTCAACTGTTTCCAACCTCAATTTTCAACTGGTACCAACCCTAATTTTCAACTGGTTCCAACCTCAATTTTCAACTGGTTCCAACCCTAATCTTCAACTGGTTCCAACCCTAGTCTTCAACTGGTTCCAACATCAATTTTTAACTGGTTCCAACCCCAATCTTCAACTGGTTCCGACCTCAATTTTAAACTTGTTCGAACCCCAATCTTCAACTGGTTCCAACCTCAATTTTAAACTCGTTCCAACAAAAATCTTCAACTCATTCCAACCTCAATTTTCAACTGGTTCCAGCCACAATCTTCAACTGGTTCCAATCTCTGTTTTAAACTGGCTCCAATCTCAGTTTTCAACTGGTTCCAACCACAATCTTCAACTGGTTACAATGCCAATTTTCAACTGGTTCCAACCTCAATTTATAACTGGTTCCAACCCCACTCTTTAACTGGTTCCAACCTCAGTCTTCAACTGGTTCCAACCTCAATTTTCAACTGGTTCCAACCCCAATCTTCAACTGCTTCCAACCTCAGTCTTCAACTGGTTCCAACCTCAATTTTCAACTGGTTCCAACCCCAGTTTTCAACCGGTTCCAACCTTAATTTTCAACTGGTTCCAACCCCAATCTTCAACTGCTTACAATCTCAATTTTCAACTGGTTCCAACCCCAGTCCTGCACACTTCAGAAGTTGTTGAATTGGCTGTATTCAGTGCATCAGTGTTAATTAACAGTCAAGGAGTCATGTTTGATGCATTTTGGCACCACAATTAGCAGGAAAGTAGTTCTCCAGGAGGAGGGTTGGTAACCACTGATTTAAACACTTTAAAAACACTTGTTGACTTACTTGCTCCAGTTCACTTTTAGCTTTATAAATTATACACTTTTCCATTACACATTTATTTTGCATAAACATTACTGTAAAAAAATTCATAGTTCAACTGAGGCTCCCCCAAAACATAACAAACTTTTTTTTTGCATATTTTGCATAATAATATTTTGCACAACAGGTGTATTAATCTACCCTTATTAAGCCTTATCAAGCCAACAGGTGGTAACAAACTTATCAGCCTAGTCTTATCAACTTACCATAAAAAGGCAATGAGCAGCCTGTTATCAGGAGGCTGTTCATTACTATGTTATTAAGCAATAACTAGATGTTTAATGCTGAAATTAAAATGCTGTGGAAAATGCTCAATTCAGCTTAATTACCGGTTAATGAAATGGTAATAAACAGCAAATTAATCAGCAGCTACTGGCCTGATAAGACTTAATAAAGGCTTTACAAGAGCATTATGATGTCCCCCTATACTGATGCTGATGTTTTTAAAAAATGAGTGGTGTGCTCCATTATAGGTGTACCTGCAGTCTCAGCACCTTGATTCAGCGGCATTTCTACACACATTCCATCCATCTCTGGGTCGTAAGGTTGGGTCAGGGGCTTAAATGACACGGCGACACACTGTCCAGCCATGCAGGAGCGCTGATAAAAATCCACCACCTTCTTTCTGCCTTCACAACACACAATACATTATGCATGTACCAACAAAAAAGCATCCACCTCCACCTGAGCTTGCTCTCACGCATAGTATTTCACACATGCCGCTCGACCCAGGGTATCTGACCTGTCTGAATCGGTCAGGGGCTGAAGATCCTCTCCGTCCCAGAATTCAGTGCACGCTCCCAGTACAACGTCAGCAGAACCATAAGAGAAGAGGTGTAGTTCGCCTGGAGGCCACAAGAATTATATTATATCCTAGATTTGGAGAGTAATATGAAGATAGAATGGGGATTGAAGAACCGATATTCTACAGTTTTCTTTGGTTTATTCCCCTAAAGTCCATTGATGCACCATTTTTAGATGCTCATTTTTGAGCTTTTCTTCAACCCATAGACTTAAGCAGCATGTTTTGTGACAACGCCAGACTCATAACACATTCATACAGAATCCATACCTGGAAAATAAGCTGCAAAAACAGCCTGTTTTGAATTAATTGTTTTTGCAATTGTCATGAAAACCAATGCATTAACACATGTCCACCTATTCAGCCTATAGCAGTTTGGCTCCGCCCATTTACTTTGCCATTCTAAGGAGTTTTTGGGCCTTAAAGGCTCTGAAATGTAAAAATTCAAAGGGTTAGTTTCCCATTTTTGGTGACTTGAAGAGTGTCTAATGCAATATACTATGTGTAAACAGCTACAGTTCCCAAAAGCAGTTATAGATGTTTTAATGGAATTATTTTTAGAATTATATTCAAACGAATAACAAAGACAGTTTGTAATCCTGCCTACCAGTTCCCATCTAACGTCCTACAAATGTCCTATATACAGTACAGAATTAGCATTCCTGGTCAGTAAACCCAGTAAAAACACTAAATTTAGAATAAATACAAACAATATTGATAAAACAAGTACTGATTATATGTATGTCAATGTGTTTCCAAAACTCTCCTCAAGGATATCTAGTAGTATTATTGATTGCACAATGCAAAGCATCACGCTAGCAACCACCTGGGATACCATAACAACAAAATAGCAAGACCTTCTCCACCATCATGAATGCTATAGTAATTACTTAACACCACCATAGCAACCACTTGAGATACCATAGCAACTACCTAGCAACACCTAAAATACCATAGTAAACACAAATGACCTTAGCAACCATTTGGAAGTTGTTCAAGCTGCATAATCACTCTCCTTTAGGAAAGGCACTTTTCAAGTTTGTAGTTAACATCTGGAACCAAGCTATGTTCTTTAAACTAGCTCACAAGCTATCAGCTACTTTTTTCAACATATGAAATTCTTGCTGCTGTTTACTGCATTTATATTTATTTACATTTTTATTTACATAATTCTAATGTTATTTATAGTTTTTCTGCCAAGACAAATGGTTTTGAACAATGTGTTTAGGTGCCTAAGACTTCCAGACATACTGAATGTGTGACTCAATCAGTACTTGGCAATTTTTTGCCTGACTCTGAATACTGGGCTGTTTGTTTATTCAGCCTTCTTTGGCTTAAAGGCTTTGAGGCATGGCTCGTATGATCTCGTATGATCTTAGTGCCTTGATTTCATCACTGTTTTAGGTAAAAAACGACTGGATATTCCAACAACACAGTGCAAGATGCCACCAGCTCATTGGCTCTATTCATCAAAGTGGCGTAAAAACGAATGACCTGAATGACATAGAAACTACTCAGGACAACATCAGTAAAACATTGAAACCAGGGGTGATTTGAGTGCAACTGATGAATCAGCTTCGGTCTGTGGAAACAAGCATTCACACACTAATACTTATTTACATTTCATTTGAAATGGACATGCCCCAATTTTCCCCTAGATTGGACTGACTAAAGGTGAATAAAGGCCATAGCAAATGAACGGCATGAGGAAATTAGTGAGATGCAACAGCCGAGCAAACACCAGATTAAAATCCCATTGAGAACTTGAGGGAAATGTGTATAGAACAACCACTGTGTGGGGCCTATCGACAATGCATGGGAAGCTGTTTCATTTAGATCATTAAAAAACCTTCATGAAAGTATGACATAGCAGCATATCAATGACCACTGCAAAAAAAAAAACAAAAAAAAAACAATTCTTTCAGACAGCCAGAGTACAAATACAACAGAATTGAAGCAAAGACAACGAATGTGACATCAGCTATGCCTTCCGCTGCCTGGGCTGTAAAAAGCTCTTGAGTGAATTTAATGGCTTTTTGCACTGAGAAGATTTAGGGTCGATTCATGTATCAGGACAACTGTGTCACAGAGGGGGGCAGTGACTAGTTAACATGGGCTGATGCAATTTGACACTGGGGTCTGCTGCAGGGATGACTCAGAGAGATGGGTTTAAAGAGGTCAGCCTAAATCTCTGTGCTTTTTCCCCGCGGTGGTGGAGGTCATGACCCGATGCGTGAGTAGCACTGCCAATGTGAATTAACGCAATAGTCTGGTCAAAAAATCAAATTTGTACAATTCCCCCCTTACACTAAATGTAGTCCACCAGACATTTATGCTGCCTCAAGTTTGCTCTGCACTGGAGCTATGAAGCTAATGAAAGCTTATAGCTGCTAGTTTAGTGTGTCTAAAATCTAAATTATGGTACACAAGTTGTTACGTAATCCCAAATAGACTTCTTTATGTCATTTCAGACACTGTATGATATTCTGTTAAATATATAAAATTAACACAAGTACTCAGGATGTAAGTCAGTTTTTTCCAAGTAATTTTGGACGTTTCTCTTGGTCCAATCATCATGAAATGTACACACAATGTAAAGGGCAACAGGCATTTTTAAATTATGTCAAAAACTGAAAAACGACAAAAATGGAGATACAAGGTTTTCTTCCAAAAACAGTGATAAAATCCGCATTTGACTGAATTGCTAGTCTGTAAATGTTCTTCCCATAATGAAACTGAATGAACACCAGAATAGTGATTTCCATATTCGTATACCAGAAGTTCTAGATGCATCACTGACTGTGAATACAAGCTTTAATAGTCACAGTTTCTGGTCAAAAAAAACATTATAGGTTTTTTTATACGCCTGTGGTTGAGGATCGACAGACCAAATTAGGAGATAAATGAACAATCAAACAGCATCTGTGTGCATGAGTGTGTCCATCTGTGCTCACCAGTGTGTGTGTGGTGCACCAGCAGGGCGATGAGGTGTGAGAACGGGAGACGTCTCATGGACACAGGAGGAGGGGCCATCACCCTCGGCTCTCCCGAGCAAGGGATTGTGGGTAGGGTGTAAGCAGCCACGCTCAGCCTATGTTGGAACGGATCCTGAGCTGAAGGAGAGAAACCTTCCAGCACACACACACACACACACACACACACACACACACACAAACAAACAATCAAGTCTAGTGTGAATTAAATGAGGTGATTTGGTTTATAGAGCTTTGATGGTTTTCAGGTTAATAGAGAATTAGAGTGAGCTTATGCTCAGAGTGGCACTTCACTTTGATTGAGCAAACGCAGAACATACTCCACACAGACTCTCTAGCTCAGTGGTCACTAACCCTCCTCCTGGAGATCTACTTTTCTGGAGAGTTTAGATCCAGTCTGCGTCTAACACGCTGCCTCCCCCTCTTACCTAGAATCACTGCTTGGCTGCTTGGCTCCAGCCAATTGAGGACTTTTGAAGAAGTTAATTAGCTGGAGCAGCTGTGGCAGATTGTGGTTGGACCTAGACTCTGCAGCAAGGTACATCTCCAGGACCAGGGTTGGTGACCACAGCTCTAGCTGTTCTACTGCTGAGAAACCATGTGGAGAATCATTTGGTCACCCTTCTATCCTCAAAATTGACCTCCACCCACAAATGTGTTCTTTTAAGGCCACTGTTGAAAGGTTGGTTAGGTGAGTTAGATCAAGCATCTTGGGGCATGGTGTATTTGAAACTGCGCTGGGCAGTGAGTACCCAGGATAGAGAATTCACTAAACTAGATGACCCTGACTCACCCAGTATCCTCGGGAGCTGGTAGAGTCCCCAAGGTGGGCGCACGGGCTGACATGGGGGGCGCGTGCGCAGCAGGGCAGCATGGGTGAGGTGGTCAGAGAGGTGTAGTATGCGTGCCGCCACCACAGGGTTGGAGAGCAGCAGCTGCACAGCTAGACCCAGTGGCCGAAGAGATGGAGCATGGCGCTGCCACTGCATGTCATCAAACTGCACACGCGTGTCATCAAAGTGTGCCCGTCCCACTGACAGACTCAGCATCTCCAAACCACAGAGGGGCCGTGTCTGGTGGGCGGGGGAAGGAGTTACGGAATATACGTCATAAGTACTGCACCATTTTCTCGAGATATTCTGTCTAATGTAGGGAGTAGTGATTAGGGACCATTTCTGTTCACCATAATAGTGTTCTATGTAGTGATCCTGGTTTTATAACAGGGAATAGATATTAGAGACCATGTCTATTCACTATGATAGTGTTCTATGTGGTGATCCCAGTTTTATAATATAAGGAACAGTGATTAGAGACCATGTCTATTCACTATAATAGTGTTCTTTGTGGTGATCCTGGTTTTATAATATAAGGAATAGTGATTAGAGACCATGTCTATTCACTATAATAGTGTTCTTTGTAGTGATCCTGGTTTTATAACAGGGAATAATGATTAGAGACCATGTCTATTCACTATAATAGTGTTCTATGTAGTGATCCTGGTTTTATAACAGGGAATAGTCATTAGAGACCATGTCTATTCACTATAATAGTGTTCTATGTAGTGATCCTGGTTTTATAACAGGGAATAGTCATTAGAGACCATGTCTATTCACTATAATAGTGTTCTATATAGTGATCATGGTTTTATAACAGGGAATAGATATTAGAGACCATGTCTATTGACTATAATAGTCTTCTATGTAGTGATCCCAGTTTTATAATATAAGGAATAGTGATTAGAGACCATGTCTATTCACTATAATAGTGTTCTATGTAGTGATCCTGGTTTTATAATATAGGGAATAGTGATTAGAGACCATGTCTATTCACTATAATAGTGTTCTATGTAGTGATCCTGGTTTTATAATATACAGAATAGTGATTATACACCATTTCTGTTCACTATAATAGTGTTCTATGTAGTGATCCTGGTTTTGTGATATAGGGAATAGTGATTAGAGACCATTTCTGTTCACTATAATAGTGTTCTATGTAGTGATCCTGGTTTCATAATGTAGGGAATAGTGATTAGAGACCATGTCTGTTCACTATAATAGTGTTCTATGTAGTGATCCTGGTTTTATAACAGGGAATAGTGATTAGAGACCATGTCTATTCACTATAATAGTGTTCTATGTAGTGATCCTGGTTTTATAATATACGGAATAGTGATTAGAGACCATTTCTGTTCACTATAATAGTGTTCTATGTAGTGATCCTGGTTTTGTGATATAGGGAATAGCGATTATACACCATTTCTGTTCACTATAATAGTGTTCTATGTAGTGATCCCGGTTTCATAATGTAGGGAATAGTGATTAGAGATCATTTCTGTTCACTATAATAGTGTTCTATGTAGTGATCCCAGTTTCATAATGTAGGGAATAGTGATTAGAGATCATTTCTGTTCACTATAATAGTGTTTTATGTAGTGATCCTGGTTTTATAATATAGGGAATAGTGATTAGAGACCATTTCTGCTCCATATAATAATAGTCTTCTCTCTGGCACATTATTGTAAGTAGTTTATATGAATAACTATGCAACCTTAAAATTAATACCAACTAGCTAGACTAATTTGTCTAAGAGTATTGAAAGTTTGGTTTTGCCTAATGTTGATTGTCATACTGTTGTGGTTACCTGTAATCTACCTACCAACACACCTTTAATCAAGACACACCCACTGTAAGAGCAGCTAAAAAGGAGTTGTTAATGTAAGCGGGAACTTTGAGATGGCCAAATCATAATCTCCACTATCATAAGTAGTGAAAGGGCAAGTTCCACCAACACCAAGCGCTGACCAGAGGTTGCTAAACACAGTGACGTAAATACCTGAGCAAGCTCTTTGGAGCCAGTTTCGTCTTTGTCTTTCTCCTTTTGTTTCACTCTCTCTGTTTCGTGAGAGGCAGATGTTCTGCTGAAGAACAGAATCTTCTCTGGGTTTGGACTTGGCCAAGACAGAATGCCCTGCTTATCAACACAGCACAGCACCTGAAACATATGTATGTGCTAACTTTTATTGCCTTGCCGCATAATTATATGTGCAACACTTCTAAAGGCACCTAACTTATGCTTTCACTGGCCACTTTATGAGCTCCACCTACCTCATAGTTCCAATGTACAGGTGTGCAATTACAGACTGTAGCAGAACTGTAGTCATGCACCATTGACTACCCCTACCCCATTCATCACTGGTCGGTTTCTGACCACAGGACTAAATGCATAGTGTGTAATTAATACAGCTCGCTTAAGCTGGCTTTACACAGTGAAACTTTTATGCAACATGTTGCATGTTGTGAGTTCCCTGCAACTTAACATCTACACAAAGCAATTCAGAAGTTTTAATACATTATTACTCAATACTCAACTAGTTAGCCACATTAGCGGCTCTTATTTTTTGATACACTATATCATTCTTGCTATAAAGTCTTCTGTGGGGTGTCATTTACATATTTGCAACATTTGCAATATTTATATGTTTTTTCCAACTGTCATTGTCATTTATTTGCCTTTTATCTATCTAATAATAATAATTTCCAGGAACTAAAAAAAATGCACTGTTACAATTTTGAGTTCATTTTTATTCATTGAATCATGCTTGTGTTTAAAGTCTGCTGCCATTACAGTACTAGTCTTGTTTCATAGTAAAGGGTTCAATAGAATGTATGATGTCTTGTCTGAACCACTGCTTACCAGGAGAAACATAAAGATTTTTTCTCACTCATTTGTCACACCTTGATGACCCCCAAGACTTTCGGAATAATGTTCTGTGGAATGATGAGTCAAAAGTGGACTTTTTTGGAAAACTGGGGCTTTGTTGCATCTGCCATAAACACGACAGAGCATTCCACAATAAGAACATCATGCCAACAGTGAAACATGGTGGTGGTAGTGTGATTGATGGTGAGGGAATGTTTTGCTCTTGTTTAGTCTAGATGTGCCTTTTTCGAATTTTCCATCCCACCTTAAACAGTGATGCAGTCACATTCTGGCGGCAACAAATGTCCCGTTCCATTGCCGAAAATGCAGCAGAATGTAGCTGCTGCACCGTTTAAGGTGGAATAGGAAATTCCAATAAGAAGCTAACTTAAGCCTTGTCAGAAAGTGTTTGTGTGAATCGCTGTTAGCTTAGCATTAAATTGCTACTAGAATAGGGATGCTACCAGAAGTTAGCATTATCATTGAGGTGGGTTTTGAGTTGTCACATTGTGCAACTCAAGTGCAATTAAGTTTCAAGTAGGTTTCAAGCAACTAAAGTTGCATGAAAACATTACTGTGTAAAGCCAGTGTAAGAGACATATGAGTAATGCAAGCAATACTGTAACATGATTATAGGGATTTAAACTTTAATGTGTTACAGTAGTTATAGGAAAAAGTATTAATTTTACTGTGATACCCCCAACACTGGTGGTACTCTTATGAACGTATGAGACATTGCAGTGTTGCTGGAGCTTTTACACATATCAGTGTCACTGCTAGGTTTGACATGGTCCACCACCCAAAAATATCCAGACAAGATCATCTCTGTGGTCAGAAACTAAGCAATGATGAAGGACTAGATGGTAATAAAGTGGCCACTGAGTATAGATTAGCATTCTCTTGTTGTCCTACTGAAATGTCCACACCAGTAAAGATGTAATCATTGCAGTGCAGGGGAATATGAGATGGTGTAGAGCAGTTGGGAAGCAAAGGTCTAATCATGCAGAGTCAGATAACACCACACACACTCTTACTGTGACAGAGCCCAGGCTGTGCAGTAGACTCGCTGTGTGACAAAGACTCAGCGATCGGCCTCCAAGCACCATGAAAAATGTTCTGCAGGTCATCTTCCACACTTCCTGTTCACCAAAATCAACTGTTACCCTGATAAGGTCTACATTTTTTAAAGACCAAACCCAATGCTGACCAAAATCCAGTACTTCATACACATTAATATGCCTGTTCCAGTGTGGTCTCCATGGCAACGCACATACCCACCAGTCCGTTGGCTGCGGGCCCATCTGAAGAAGCACACGGACCTCCCCGTATATGCCCACCAGTAACCATAGCGACGGGAAGGTCAAGGGCAGCAGGGGCAGAATGCCGTTCACCTACAGTAAAGCAGGATTACTGAGCTGATTTGGTCATGCTAGCACATGTGCACATATGTGTATGAAATAATGTTTGCACGTCTGTCTTACTGGAAGCTGCAGTAGGGTAACAGGCCAAGGTCCGACTCCTGGAGCCCCCAGGACATAACGCAGCATATTCAACATCAGCAAAAGCACCTAGTTGGGGTGTAAACAGCAAGATAGAGCAAGATGAAGTAGAATAAATTGAGATACATTACAACCACTTTAGTGTGACTGTACTTATTAGCAGACAAAGTCGGTTAGTCATTAACAACGTCGATTATAGGAAAAAAGTTCGACACATCATCTATTAAAAAACTCAGATCTTAGTAGTTGTGCATCAATTTGTAGTCATTGGCATGTTCATAAAAGTTACGGAGCTTTTTTACCAATGGGAAAAATGAAGAGTTCATGTACATTTTTCCTTAGAATTGAACTGGATCCTCTGAAGTACGAGGTCACTAAATAGGAAATAGGAATATTGGTATATACATGCTAGAAAAAAGCTAACGCTGAGTTGACATTACAAGTTTGTATAGGGTATTTTTGTGAGGTTGCTAGTTTATGATGTCAATCTAATGCCCAGTGTTAGCTAACATGGAGCAATATTCATATTTTTATTATGTTGCAATTCAGAGGATGGAGGAAACATGAACTTAGGATAAAATTTATGACCTTTTTCTGTTTTCAACAGGATAATATAGCAGTAATTTTCAAGAAAACTGTTCATGTTTCCCATAGAAATGACCAGCTTACATCCAAAGTTCCTCATATGGGCATGATGCTACAAAGTAAGACAAAACTCAGAGGTCCATAATGCTCTCTAACGTTCATATGATACAGGTAGTCAATCTGGTAGTACCCTACAGGAAGCTTGGGGGATGATACAGTTTCACTGGGCCAAAAATGAATCGCTTGTCATACAGATGGAAATTTGGATAATGGTGGTGCAGAGGAAAGTCAGAGGAACGTGCAGAAGACATAATTGTATGTTAAACAAAATAGTCAATAGATTAGTCACTTACAGAAATAATCAGTAACTGCATTTCTTCACTTTAGTCTGTTAAGCACTTACAGGTTACCAGGACTACATGCTCTAAAGATCAGATTAAATTTGCTTTCCATCTTTCCTTCTGTTGGCAGATTTGGTTTATCCCTTTAATGTCCTCCAAATGGAGAAAACTCGGAGCAATGGAGAATCTTCCCAGAAGTGACCAGCCTATCGCAATTCCTCTAGGAGCACAGTGACAACTGACCCAGGAAGTCACAAAAGAACCCAGATGAATATCTAAGGCCTTGCAAGCCTCAGATAAGGTCAGCATCCATGACTCCACCATTAGAAAGAGACTGGGCAAGAATAGTATCTATGGGAGAGTTGCAAGGCAACCACGGCCAACCAAGAGAAACGATTTGTCTTACTTGTTTGTCACAACTTGATGACCCCCAAGGCTTTTGGAATAATGTTCTGTGGAACAATGAGTCAAAAGTTGCAATTGTTGGAAAACTGGGGCCTTGTTACATCTTCCATAAAGATTTCCACAATAAGAACATCACACCAACAGTGAAACATGGTGGTGGCAGTGTGATGGTGAGGGGATGCTTTGCTCTTTGAGGGCCTTGGTGACTTGCCATAGTTAACTAAACCATGAATTCTGCTCTCTGCCACAAAATCCTGTAGGAGACTCTCCCGTCATCAGTCTGCTCAAGTGCAATTGGGTTATGCAGCAAGACACTGATCTGAAGCACAAGAGAATCCCACCTCTGAATGAAACAAAATTAAGGTTTTGGAGTGGACGGGTCAAGGTTCTGGATCCCATTGAGATGCTGAGGCAGGGCAGTAAAAGGGCAGTTTATGCTTAAAAGCCCTCCAGTGTGGCTGAATTAAAGCAATTCTACAAAGAAGAGTTGGCCGAAATTCCTCCACGGCGATGTGAAAGACTGACCGCCAGTTATAAGAGGTCGCAGTTGTTGCTGTTGAGGGCAGTTTAGGGGGCAATTACTTTCTCATATGGGTGGTGTAGGTGTTGTAAACTTTTTTTCCCTCAAAAAATGAAATGATCAAATAAAAACTATGCTTTGCATTTCCTCATGTTCTCTTTGTCTTCTATTTTTATGAGGACCTCAAACCATTTAGTGTGACAAATATGCAAGAATAGAGGAGATCAGGAGGGGGGAACTACGTTTTCATGACACCGTATGAATGGTTTGTGATCCACAAGTCACAGAGAATTAAATTGATGCCATATTTGAGTATTTTTGTACCAGACATGCAGTCACAGTAAAGCAAACCTCTTAGACATACAGAAACAGAAATACTGTCCGAGACTGCCATATCTAAACATCTAAGAACAAATATTAGCTTTCTAGAGCTCTGAAACTCAAAACTGTGATAAAACACACATGCTATCAATAATTAATATTATAATATAATAACAAAATGTGTTATCAGTCTTATCTGGGGACTGAAATTCCACTTAGAAATATCTTGCACCACTTTATGTAGTTTGTCCCTTTGGGGGGGTTAATATAGGAATTTGAAACAGCAGATTAAGTGAAGAAAGTAAATCAGTACTTTTTCTCTAATGACTTTCACAACCAGCCTAAAAGAACTTAGAGTTTCAGTGGACCTGAAAAGTTCAAAATCAGTTCTAATGTGAGTTGCATTAGAAAGAACTGGAACCAAAATGACCCCTCACCCTCAAATAAATAATAAAATAAATAAATAAATAAATAAAATAAAATCTAGTGTAATATAACCAGCCATAGTTAACTGTGCAAATTTTATGCTATGTTTCACCACATCTTTGTTTTTTTACTTTAGTAGATGAACAGGAAACGTTACAGAAGAGTAACTGTAAGAAAATACTCCCTCCGTCCCAAACAAACAAATAAATGATTAATTAAATAACAATAAATACTTTGAATAGTCAACTATGCTAGTTATAAATCTCCTATATTGTATATATATTTTTACAATTTTTATTTATTTTTTATTTTAAATTTTGCTTTAAAATAATGAATAACAGTGTTCATTTGGATATTATAAACTACACACCAAAAGTTGTTTTATCTTTGTGTCAATGTTTTTAGGTATAATAACTTATACAAACACAATATAAACTGTCATATTTGTGACAAGTCATAATATTATTTGTTATTTCATATATTATACAAAAGAATATAAAATACAAAGAAATACAACATTAGTACAACAAAAATAGACACAACGAGGACTATTTCTATATTTTAGTTAATATTTTATGTATTTTGGGAAAATAAGAAGTTATTAAATAATAAATAATATGCTTTAATAGTATATTTTCAGTGATCATATGCTTTGTATCATATTTTCATTTTACTCTTTTATAATTAATTGAAATATACTAATAACTTCTCAAGTTATTTGACTCAAGATTCCCTCACATTTCAAAATCATCTACAGCACCATTAACCATACATTTTCCACAAATATGAATTTCAGGTTTGGTAGTATAGAATGTTACTATCACATTATGTGTTATTTATTATTCACTGTACAACTTTTTCTGAGTTTCGCTGAAAGAGTTTGGCTATAGAAAGTGACAGACTGTGGTAAATGCTCACCAGTGTGAGGGGAGCAGGACCTCTCTCCAGTAAACTCTGTACAGTGAAGCGTTCGTTATCCAGCACGGAGATCGGTCTGTGCTGAGAGAGCTCCAAACATCTCCTGTAAACACACAATTAACAAGTAATTGTAGGTTTATGATTTCAAAATGGTCATGTTCAGTCAGGGCTGCAAACGTGTGGACATCAACAAAGTTTTTGTTAGTTTACCGCAGCATGCTGGACAGTATTTACATCCAAATCAGGTGAATGGTGTAGGAAACACGACCAATTTTATACACGGCCATCATTTGTTAATTATTAATACCCTGTTGGAAATCCTTCATAGTCAATGACTCACTTCCTGCTGACAAAAGTCACATCATCAATGAAAGGAACCAAATCCATTGGCAACCATACAAGCCCATGCCATGATACTACCTCCACCATGCTTTACAGATCCTGTAAGATCCCTGTTTCCCTTAATCTTCTCTTCTTATCATTCTGTCACAAGTTTATCTTTCTGTCCTCTGTACATAAGATGTTGTTCCAGAACTGTACAGCCTTTTTAAATTTTTTATGACAAATTCTAATCTAGTATTCCTGCTTTTGAGGCTTCGCAATGGTTTACATATTGTGGAAAACAGTCTATATTTACTCTGGTGAAGTCTTCTCTTGATTGTTCAATTTATCACAGAGATGTCTACTTCCTGGAGGGTGTTGTTGATCTTGTAAAGGGAAAAAATTCCAGTATTCCATGGTCTTCCAGGCTTTTTGGTGTTTCTGAGCTGATCAGTCCATTCTTTCATTTTGAGAATGTAAAAATCGTTGATTTGGCCACACCTAAAGTTTCTCTGATGGGTTTGTTTTGATTTTTTGGCCTAATGATGGCCTGCTTCACTGGTAGAGGACTTCATATTGAGAGTTAACTGCATCATATCCAGAATGCAAATGTCAGACTTCAGAATTTCTGCACACTTGTATGTGAATTAACAAGGGAATTACACACACCTGGTAATAGAACAGCTAAGCAGCTACATCATTCACCTGACTTGTCTGACCTAAAACACCCAGGATCAATCAATGGATGGTAGGTATAAAAATTTACACTGTTTTGTTATCTATAAAAATGCACAAAACTACTGACAAAATCCAGGCATTCAATAAGACAGCTGCAACTGCTTTAGATATTAGGTACTACTATTTCTGCCTCGTAAGTATGCGATTTTGTAGATAACAGTGTGTCATACAGTTTCATAAACCATTCAAGCAAGTCTATTTCTGACTATTTAACAACTCGGCCTGGTTTGGGGCAAGTGCGTAGTCATGCATGCATGCTAATTGCTGAATATAAGCTTCCATTACTTCCATTAAATTAGCCTCATAGCTCCAGTGCAAATTTCAGACACCAAACATATCTTGGCTGATGGACTACATGTGGGGGGGGGACAGTCAATTTGATTTTGGTTTCAACCATCGCTTCAAGACAGGTATCTTACTGAACCACATCCACCGCTGGAGTCTTGGTCACCCTGAAGAGCTGAGGCTGGACCAAGCGGTGTGGGCGCGGCCTCCCATTGTCCAGTGGAGATGGAGGGGAGGAAAGGTGACTGAAGACATCACTGCGAGAAAGGACGACATGCTCCTCTTCCTGTGTTTACCAACCAATCAGATACAGAGGTGGTGGGTGAATGATCTGAACATGATGTTGTCTTCAAATCATTTTATATTTTAGTTCCCACATAGTATGAATACATAATTTAAAGCCTGAATGCTGGATTTGTTGAAGGTCTTGGAATCGCTCTTGAAATTTCAATGAAGTTGATCTATAATCGTAATTAGAAATACACAATGTGGCCAAAGGTATGTGGACACCTGACTATTAAACCTGAGCTTGCTGGACATCCCGTTCCAAAACCATGGGCATTAATATGGAGTCGCCCCCTTTGCGGCTATAATGGTCTTTACTCTTCTCAGACAGTTTTACATGAGAATTTAAAGTGTGTCTGTGGGAATTTGTGCAAATTCAGGCAAAAGAGCTTTTGTGAGGTCAGGCATTGATGTTGGATGAGAGGGCTCATACTTGACGTTCCAGTTCATCTGTTCAGTGGGGTTGAGCTCAGGGCTCTGTGCAGACCACTGGAGTTCCTCCACACCAAACTTGTCAAGCCATACCATTGTGGAGCTCGCTTTGTGCACAGGGGCTCAGTCATGCTGGAACAGGAAACGCTCTTCCCCAAACTGCTGCCACAAAGTTGGAAGTGTATAATTTTCTAAAAAGTCTTTGTGTGCTGTAGCATTAACATCACCCTTCACTGGAACTGAGGGGCCCAAGCCCTGGAAAACGCCCCCAGCCCATTATCCCTCCTCCACCAAACTTTACTGTTGGCACTGTGCATTCAGGTAGGTAGCTCCTGGCACCTGCCAAACCCAGATTTGTACATTAGACTTTTAGACAGAGAAGTGTGATTCATCACCCTAGAGAACACGTTTCCAGTGCTCCAGAGTCCAGTGGCGGCGTGCTTCACATCATTCCAGCTGACACTTGGCATTGCACATAGTGATGTAAGAGTTTTGTGGAGCTATTCAGCCGTGGAAACCAATTTTATGATGCAATTCTTGTGCTGATGTTGATTTCAAAGGCAGTTTAGAATTCTCTAGTGAGTGATGCAGTTTCACAGTAATAGCGCTTACAGTTGTCTCGGGCAGATCTATCAGAGCAGAAAGTTCACAGACTGACTTGTGATAAAGGTGGCATCCTATGACAGTGCCATGTTTAAAGTCAGCTCTTCACTGTGACCCATTCTACTGCCAGTGTTTTTCTATGTAGATTGCATGGCTATGTGCTTGATTTTATACACCTGTTAGCAATAGGTGTTGCTGAAAACATCCAAACTCAATAATTAGGAGGGGTGTCCACATTTCTTTGGCCAGAAAGTGTATAATAGTATAAAATATGCTATAATGTTTTTAATATTAGTTTCTCCAACCAACTGTGACAACACTTTTAAAGAGTCTGTTTTTCACTGGTTTTTGATGCATTTTTTATTTAATTGTTTTTTGGATTTTTAGCCTGTATTTCTTCTCAGTTGAGCTGTAGCCAATTACCTCCTGCTAGTTAGATCTCCACCTGTCAACACAATGCTACCAAGCTTTTCAAAATCCCACAAATAATCAATGGAAAGTTTGAAAGAGAACTCAGTTATGTTGGCTAGAATTGTGCTGCATGTTGGGGGGGAGAGGGAAGGCCATCCTACCCACCCAGTGAGAGCGAGGTCAAATATGGTCTCCGAGCTCGCAATGCACGGTTGCGTTGCTGAGGTTGCTTTCTATTCGGTTAAACATGACAACTCTGACCTGGATGCCTCTTAGCTCAGTGGGGGCTTCGTTGCCTGGCCGTAGAGAGATGATGTCACCTTCCACGAGCAGACTGACAGGCAGGTTGACCAGTCGGCCATCCCGGTAGGTCCACTGCAGTGACACAGCTGGCGAAGAAGGCGTAAATAAGTCCTCGGTGCCTTTTAGCCAATCAGAGGGCGGGTGCTGCAAAAATTCTGCAACCAATAACACGCCAGGTTCAGTAACTGAAAGCTGCTGCATGCATGGTGTGAACACTGTCATTCAAGAGTTAACTGATGGTTTAAATATTACAAACTAGACACCAAGAAGAATATTTATTTATTTATTTGTTGATGAATAATTTAATTAATTCAATATTTCAAGTGCTTCAGGATCAACAAGAGGTTATTATACAATAAATAATGCACCATAATGATCTATTTATAGAACTTTCTCTTCATTGTTTCACTGTAAAGCATTTTGCACTGCTTCATTCATGAAAACTGCACTATTAATAAAGTTATTCGTCGTTTAAGACACGTTTAAAATGTCCTAGATTTCTTACATTTCTTACATTAACTGAACCTGTGAAATTTCACAGTACCAGAATCACATTACTAGACACATTACTAGAAATTTTATTCAATATTTCATGTGTTTTGAGGACAACAAGAAGTTCTTCAGTGTTAAATAATACGCAATATGATCTGTTATCGATTTTCATTTGGTTTTCTATAATATATTTATTATAATCTACTATAATTAGTTAAAAATCTCACGATGCCTTACATTTTAGAATCAGCTTCAGCTCCATTCATCGTTCTGGACATAACTAAATTTCTTATTTGTTAATTCATTTTATTTGCTTTTATTTTTACAGTTTTCGTGCTGATTATATAAAAACCTGTAATGTTAACAGGACTAGCATATTAGAACCATTGTGCATATGCAACAGAACTGGCTTTATATTGTGATTCCGAATGGCACGCTTATGAAAAAGATAGTTCTTCAAAGGTTCTTTAGTAAAAAAAAATGGTTCTATGCAGAACCACGAACACTCAAAAAGACCTTTTGAATGGTTAAATGGTTCTTTGCATCATGAAGGGGCTCCAGTATGTTCAATTTGGAAAAATAAACAGTAATTGTGCATTAAAGTGTGCAGAAGTGTGTTCTCTGTAGAAGATGTGTTCACTTTTTTTCCCTCAGAAAATCAATAACAGATGACATTTGCCCAGAGGGGCCTCCATTTTTGCCTAGAACCGTATGTGCCCATGAGTCGTGACATTACCCTGCAAGGAGTTCAGTAACGTTTCTACTCGCCGAGGCATCTCTGAACTCTTCAGCCGCTGGAGAGCTGCCATGGAAACCAGGCCAGCCAGAAGGAGGAGTAGAACAGCACAGCCGCCAATCAGGGCCATGCTGTCACTATGACAACCATAAGGAAAGACCAAGTATGGATCATGGAAGCATGAAATTCAATGGAATTAAACCAGGAAGAACCAAACTAACCATTTGTACAGGTGTTTAGTAGAAAACCACACACAATATACACTGAGCACTTTATTTGGCACACTATCCTTGTATCTACACTCACTGTCCTCTTTATCAGCTCCAATATAGGAGCACTTTGTAGTTTTACAGTTACAGACTGTAGTCCATCTGTTTCTCTGCATACTTTGTTACCCTGTTCTTCTGTGGTCAGGACCCCCACAGGACCCTCACAGAGCAGGTACTGTTTGGGCGCTGGATCATTATCAGCACTGCAGTAACACTGATGTGGTGGTGGTGTGTTAGTGTGTGTTGCGCTGGTCTGAGTGGATCAGACACAGCAGTGCTGCTGGAGTTTTTAAACACCTTAGTGTCACTGCTGGACTGAGAGTAGTCCACCAACCAAAAACATCCAGACAGTAACGTCCCTGATGAAGGACTAGAGGATGACCAACACAAACTGTGCAGCAGCAGATGAGCTACTGTCTCTGACTTTACATCTACAAGGTGGACTGACAAGGTAGGAGTGTCTAATAGAGTGGACAGTGAGTGGACACAGTGTTTAAAAACTCTAGCAGCACTGCTGTGTCTGATCCAGTCATACCACCACAACACACACTAACACATCACCACCATGTCAGTGACACTGCAGTGCTGAGAATGACCCACCATCCTGCTCTGTGGGGGTCCTGTGGTGGTCCTGACCACTGAAGAACAGGGTAAAAGGGGGCTAACAAAGTATGCAGAGAAACAGATGGACTACAGTCTGTAGTTATAGAACTACAAAGTGTGTGGAGCTGATATAATGGAGTGTAGATACAAGGAGGTTGTTAATGTTATGGCTGATCCATATTATATATATATATATATATATATATATATATATATATACACATATATGTTACCTGTTTTGATCAATGGCATGGCAAGTGAGTAAGCTAGCGGCACACAAGGCTGTCAGTAGAGCTCCTGGCCAGTGGAGACTGGACCAGCGCACAGAGTGATGCAAAAAACATCTTCTCCAAGCAGCCTGAAAAGTCCATTAATACATATATTATTACATTAATTAACAAGTTCATTTGTTTGTTTGTTCATCTGTTTGATTGTTCATCAATGTATGCAATAGAATAAACTCTCACTTAGTACAACAGATCTTTGAATTCTCACTCAGTACAACAGATCTTCTCTCTCTTTGAGCTCAAAATGTATAATGGGGTCCCTCAGGGCTTTATGTTAGGTCCAATGATTTTTACCCTTTTTGCCGTTTTGCATTAATTTCTCCATAAGAAAATGTTCTAAAAATAAACTCTTGCCTGCCAGTGATGATCTTGTCTTGGGCTTTGTTGGTGTTGTTGGAGAGCATTGGAAAGCTGAGCATGAAGCTGAGACAGGGCTGCCACTGAAGACAAACCCAACGGCCTCTAAAGAAAGAGGAAGATTACAGACAAAAAATACATGTAGGTGTCCACTACTTCAGGAATAACGGCCTACACCTCTGTGTGTGCAAATTGCCCTGATCACGACTTTTCCAAGGCTTTGTATTGCTGTGTGTGTGAAGCAATATAAAAAAAAATGATAAAAAGATTATTTCTATTGTTCAATGCACTTCCAAATCACAATGTCGGAGTCACTTCATTAAAACTTTATTATTTTTTCAGGCACATTATTTATCAGGCACGCAGCCAACTAACCTTAATTACTCAAATTTACCAACATTGAATTAGGTTTGTAGATATATACATACTCATTCCAAAAATGGGTACATAAACTGTTAAAAAAGTAAAATTCAAATTAATAAAGCATGTTTTGATGGAAAAAGTGACATGAAACTCCAGCCTATTGCCTTTAATTCTTGTGTACAAGTAATCATGTGCTAGTATAAGAAACATTAGAACATCAATCAACAAATTATTATTATATTTTTTTTACCTATGATATTTTTTGGATTTGCCAATATTATGATTTAAGCAAGCAATTTCAAAATATTTTCATTTCTATATTATAATGCAAAAATTCTGTGTTGTTCTTTCAAGCTATTTTAAACAAGATTTGGTCTGATACTGTAAAAAATATTTTCTTAGTCTTAATTTTTTAGCCAACAATTATAAACAATATTCAGTTCTATACTAAAAACTGAATATTTTTTCATATTATTTTAGCAAGTAGTTTTAAAGTAGATTCAGTATCATACTGTAACATGAATATTTTCTTGTTTTAATTCTTTCATCAATTACATAATTCACTCTTATACTGTAAACTGAATTTTGAAGCAAGTAATTTAAACAATATTCAGTCTTAGACTGTAAACTGGGTATTTTCTTATTCTTATTATTTCAGCTAGTACATTTAAACATGATTCTTATATTGTAATTTGAATGGTTCTTATTCTAATTCTTTCAGCAAGTAAATTTAAACAATATTCAGTCTTACATTGTAAACTGAGTATTTTCCTATTCTTATACTTTCAGAAATCATGAACAGCAGACAGGCCTATAGTGAACAACTGAATGTTGTTTTACTCTAAGTGTTTTAGTAAACTATTGTAAATAATCTTCAGTCCTATATTGTAAATTGAACATTTTCTAATTCTTATTTTTAGAAATCATAAACAATATTCTGTCCCATATTGTACATTGAATATTTTCTAATTCTTAATTTTAGCAAGCACAAACAATATGCAGTTTTTATATTGTAAATTCATCATTTTCTCAATTTTATTTTTATAGCAATCACAACAGATATTCAGTCCTAAATTGTAGATTGAAAATTTTTATTTTTTAAGAAACAAACATGGACAACATTGTCGTATATTGTAAATTGAATATTTTTTTATTCTTATTTTTTAGCAAACAATCACAAACAACATTCAGTTCTATATTATACATTTAATATTTTTTAGTTCTTATTTTTAGCTATCACAAACAATATTTAGTCAAACATTGTAAATGGAATATTTTTTAATTTTTATTTTTAGCAAACAAACAATATTCAGTCCTGTATTGTAAACTGAATATTTTCTTATTTCTTTAGCAAACAACCATAAACAATATGCGGTTCTAAATTGTAAATTGAATATTTTCTAATTCTTATTTTTAGCAATCACAAACAACATTCAGTCCTATATTGTAAATTGAATATGTTCTAATTCTTATTTTTTAGCAATCACAAACAACATTCAGTCCTATATTGTAAATTGAATATGTTCAAATTCTTATTTTTAGCAATCACAAACAACATTCAGTCCTACATTTTAAACTGATTTTCTTTTTAGCACTTACCGGCTCACAGGTTCTGTCAACTGAAACTTTCATTGTGTATCGTACTTTCCTGCTATAGCAAATGTTCTGAAGACTGTACTGTGTTGTGTGTGTGAGTGCAGTGGGGGGCCTTGGCTGTCACATCCACATGTTTTGAGAAGAAGAAAATGTCTGTCAGATGTCAGATACAGGAAGTCAACCCCCCCCCCACACCCGCACACACACAAACACTTACTGAGATCTTCAAGTTTTAGCCTTTTAACCAACAGTGCAGTTCAGTCTGAGGCTCTGAAAGTGACTCTGAAATGAACTGAGCTCTCATTAAAATGAGCGAATTGAGCTGCTCTGTGGCGACTTTATCACATGTTCACTGAATCACAGAGAACCAGCACCCCCCCACACCCACTCACACTAACACAGAGGAAGAGAGTGACCCCTACCCCCACACCCACTCACACTAACACAGAGGAAGAGAGTGACCCCTACACCCCCCACACCGACTCACACTAACACAGAGGAAGAGAGTGACCCCCACCCCCCCACACCCACTCACACTAACACAGAGGAAGAGAGTGACCCCTACACCCCCACACACCCACTCACACTAACACAAAGGAAGAGAGTGACCCCCACACCCCCCACACCCACTCACACTAACACAGAGGAAGAGAGTGACCCCTACACCCCCCACACACCCACTCACACTAACACAGAGGAAGAGAGTGACCCCCACACCCCCCACACACCCACTCACACTAACACAGAGGAAGAGAGTGACCCCCACACCCCCCACACACCCACTCACACTAACACAGAGGAAGAGAGTGACCCCCCACACCCCCCACACCCACTCACACTAACACAGAGGAAGAGAGTGACCCCCACACCCCCCACACACCCACTCACACTAACAAAGAGGAAGCGAGTGACCCCCACACCCCCCACACCCACTCACACTAACACAGAGGAAGAGAGTGACCCCCACACCCCCCACACCCACTCACACTAACACAGAGGAAGAGAGTGACCCCTACACCCCACACACCCACTCACACTAACACAGAGGAAGAGAGTGACCCCCACACCCCCCACACCCACTCACACTAACACAGAGGAAGAGAGTGACCCCCACACCCCCCACACCCACTCACACTAACACAGAGGAAGAGAGTGACCCCTACCCCCCACACACCCACTCACACTAACACAGAGGAAGAGAGTGACCCCTACACCCCCCACACCCACTCACACTAACACAGAGGAAGAGAGTGACCCCTACCCCCCCACACCCACTCACACTAACACAGAGGAAGAGGGTGACCCCCACACCCCCCACACACCCACTCACACTAACACAGAGGAAGAGAGTGACCCCCACACCCCCCACACACCCACTCACACTAACACAGAGGAAGAGAGTGACCCCCACACCCCCCACACCCACTCACACTAACACAGAGGAAGAGAGTGACCCCCACACCCCCCACACCCACTCACACTAACACAGAGGAAGAGAGTGACCCCCACACCCCCCACACCCACTCACACTAACACAGAGGAAGAGAGTGACCCCTACCCCCCACACACCCACTCACACTAACACAGAGGAAGAGAGTGACCCCTACACCCCCCACACCCACTCACACTAACACAGAGGAAGAGAGTGACCCCTACACCCCCCACACCCACTCACACTAAGACAGAGGAAGAGAGTGACCCCCACACCCCCCACACACCCACTCACACTAACACAGAGGAAGAGAGTGACCCCCACACCCCCCACACCCACTCACACTAACACACAGGAAGAGGGTGACCCCCACACCCCCCACACACCCACTCACACTAACACAGAGGAAGAGGGTGACCCCCACACCCCCCCCACACCCACTCACACTAACACAGAGGAAGAGAGTGACCCCTACACCCCCCACACCCACTCACACTAACACAGAGGAAGAGAGTGACCCCCACACCCACTCACACTAACACACAGGAAGAGGGTGACCCCCACACCCCCCACACACCCACTCACACTAACACAGAGGAAGCGGGTGACCCCCACACCCCCACACACCCACTCACACTAACACAGAGGAAGAGAGTGACCCCTACACCCCCCACACCCACTCACACTAACACAGAGGAAGAGAGTGACCCCTACACCCCCCACACCCACTCACACTAACACAGAGGAAGAGAGTGACCCCTACACCCCCCACACCCACTCACACTAACACAGAGGAAGAGAGTGACCCCCACACCCCCCACACCCACTCACACTAACACAGAGGAAGAGAGTGACCCCCACACCCACTCACACTAACACAGAGGAAGAGAGTGACCCCCACACCCACTCACACTAACACAGAGGAAGAGAGTGACCCCTACACCCCCCACACCCACTCACACTAACACAGAGGAAGAGAGTGACCCCCACACCCACTCACACTAACACAGAGGAAGAGAGTGACCCCTACACCCCCCACACCCACTCACACTAACACAGAGGAAGAGAGTGACCCCTACACCCCCCACACCCACTCACACTAACACAGAGGAAGCGGGTGACCCCCACACCCCCCACACACCCACTCACACTAACACAGAGGAAGAGGGTGACCCCCACACCCCCCACACACCCACTCACACTAACACAGAGGAAGAGAGTGACCCCTACACCCCCCACACCCACTCACACTAACACAGAGGAAGAGAGTGACCCCTACACCCCCCACACCCACTCACACTAACACAGAGGAAGCGGGTGACCCCCACACCCCCCACACACCCACTCACACTAACACAGAGGAAGAGGGTGACCCCTACACCCCCCACACCCACTCACACTAACACAGAGGAAGCGGGTGACCCCCACACCCCCCACACACCCACTCACACTAACACAGAGGAAGAGAGTGACCCCCACACCCCCCACACACCCACTCACACTAACACAGAGGAAGAGAGTGATCCCCACACCCCCCACACCCACTCACACTAACACAGAGGAAGAGAGTGACCCCCACACCCCCCACACCCACTCACACTAACACAGAGGAAGAGAGTGACCCCCACACCCCCCACACCCACTCACACTAACACAGAGGAAGAGAGTGACCCCCACACCCCCCACACACCCACTCACACTAACACAGAGGAAGAGAGTGACCCCCACACCCCCCACACCCACTCACACTAACACAGAGGAAGAGAGTGACCCCCACACCCCCCACACCCACTCACACTAACACAGAGGAAGAGAGTGACCCCCTACACCCCACACACCCACTCACACTAACACAGAGGAAGAGAGTGACCCCCACACCCCCCACACCCACTCACACTAACACAGAGGAAGAGAGTGACCCCCTACACCCCCACACACCCACTCACACTAACACAGAGGAAGAGAGTGACCCCTACACCCCCACACACCCACTCACACTAACACAGAGGAAGAGGGTGACCCCCTACACCCCCCACACCCACTCACACTAACACAGAGGAAGCGGGTGACCCCCACACCCCCCACACACCCACTCACACTAACACAGAGGAAGAGGATGACCCCCACACCCCCCACACACCCACTCACACTAACACAGAGGAAGAGAGTGACCCCTACACCCCACACACCCACTCACACTAACACAGAGGAAGAGAGTGACCCCCACACCCCCCACACACCCACTCACACTAACACAGAGGAAGAGGGTGACCCCCACACCCACGCACACTAACACAGAGGAAGAGAGTGACCCCCACACCCCCCACACCCACTCACACTAACACACAGGAAGAGAGTGACCCCCACACCCCACACACCCACTCACACTAACACAGAGGAAGAGAGTGACCCCCACACCCCCCCACACCCACTCACACTAACACAGAGGAAGAGAGTGACCCCCACACCCCCCCCACACCCACTCACACTAACACAGAGGAAGAGGGTGACCCCCACACCCCCCCCACACCCACTCACACTAACACAGAGGAAGAGAGTGACCCCCACACCCCCCACACACCCACTCACACTAACACAGAGGAAGAGAGTGACCCCTACACCCCACACACCCACTCACACTAACACAGAGGAAGAGAGTGACCCCCACACCCCCCCACACCCACTCACACTAACACAGAGGAAGAGAGTGACCCCTACACCCCACACACCCACTCACACTAACACAGAGGAAGAGAGTTTTCCTCTCTTTTCCTCTCGTTTTTTCTTTCTCTTTTTCTTTCTTGCTCTTTTTTCTTCTCTCCTTTTCTTTCTCTCTCTCTCCCTTTCTCTCTCTTTCTCATTTTCTCTCTTTTCCTGTCTTCTTCTCTCTCTCTCTCTCACTATTTCTCCCTCTACCTTTCTTTCTCTTTTTCTTTTTTCGCTCTGCATCTCTCTCTTTTCATCTCACTCCCTCTTTTTTTTAACTTTCGCTCTCTCTTACTCTCTTCTTTTCTCTCTTTCTTTCTCTCTCTTCCTCTTTTTCTCTCTTGCTCTTTCTCTTTCCCCTCTCCCTTTCTCTCTCTTTCTTTCTCTGTCTCTCTTTTTTTCTTTCTCACTCTTTCTCTCTCTCTTCCTCTCTCTCCCGTTCTCTTTCTCTCTCTCTTACTCTTTCTCTATTTCTCTCTGCCGTTCTCGCTCTCTCTACCTTTCTGTTCCTTTCTCTCACTAACCATTCTCTTTCTTTATTTCTTTTTCATTGTCTTTATCTATCTCCTCCTTTACTGTCTCTCTCTCTCTCTCTCTTTCTCCCTCTCTCTCTCTCTCTCCTCACAACACTAAATCTTTTTCAATGCATGATGTCTCACATCTTTTTCATCTCACTCCCTCTCTCTCTCCCTTTCGCTCTCTCTCTTACTATCCTTTTCTCTCTTTCTCTCTCTCTTCCTCTGTCTCACATCTTATTCATTTCCAACTTGATTGTTTTGACCCAGTCTCCAATCCCTTCCGTTTGCCCCCTCTCTCTCTCTTTCCCTCCTCTCTCTCTCTCTCCCTCTCTCCCTCCCTCCCTCCCTCGCTCTCTGTTTTCCGCTCTCTCAGTTAACAGCTGTACTCCAGCGTAGTGGAGTCACAGTTTTCTGTTTTTTTCCTCTCCAGCGCTGCTGTTCTCGAGCTCCAGTTCCCACTAAAGGATATTACTCATCCGTCTGCAGCCTCTTTCTCTCTTTAACCCTCTCCCCTTTTATTTCATTTATCTGCCTCTCACTGTTTCGTCCCTCCTCTGTCTTCTTCAGCTCCGTGTTCAGAACCTTTCACTCTCGCTCTTTCTTGTCCTTTATTCTTTTGTCTTTTTCCCTCTGTGTCTGCACTGCATCCACCGTTCTTTTCTCTGTCTTCCTCTGTCTGATGGAGGCTGAGGCGCTGTACAGCTTCAGAGCCACAGAATGTGACGAGCTAAGTTTCCAGAAGGGCGACATCCTGAAGGTAAGTGTGTGTGTGTGTGTGTGTGTGTGTGTGTGTGTGTGTGTGTGTGTGATCATCACATTCGTCTTGTTTGATCATGTGTCTGTGGTGTCAAATGGTCACGATCTTTGCGCTTATGCAGCCTGTGGTCATAGATAGATTGGACAGTAACAGAAGTCAGAGACCACCCTGCGTTTATTCCATTTCCAGTCGGAACATCCATGAAGAAAGCTACGGAAGTCTGAAGAGGCTCTGAGCTGTTGCTGTAATTTTTTGGATTGTTACCTTTGTTATCTTGAGATCACAGGATAATTAACTCATTATCTCAAGATGACAACTTTTGTTATCCAGAGATCAAAAGATAATTAACTTTTGTTATCTTAGGATAACAAGAAAACCCATTAGTTATCTTGATATTTCTTTGTTTTCTTGAGATCACATGATAATTAACTCATTATCTCAAGATGACAACTTTTGTTATCTTGACATCACAAGATAATTAACTCATTATCTCAAGATGACAACTTTTGTTATCTTGAGATAACAAGTTGACGCATTAGTTATCTTGTTATCTCTTGGTTTTCTTGACATCACAAGATAATTAACTCATTATCTCAAGATGACAACTTTTGATATCTTGAGATCACAGGAATACTACTTCATTATCTCAAGATGACAACTATTGTTATTTCGAAATAACAAGATAACTAATTATTTATCTTGTTATCATTTTGAGATCACAAGATAATTAACTCATTATCTCAAGATGACAACTTTTGTTATCTTGAGATAACAAGTTGACGCATTAGTTATCTTGTTATCTCTTGGTTTTCTTGACATCACAAGATAATTAACTCATTATCTCAAGATGACAACTTTTGATATCTTGAGATCACAGGAATACTACTTCATTATCTCAAGATGACAACTATTGTTATTTCGAAATAACAAGATAACTAATTATTTATCTTGTTATCATTTTGAGATCACAAGATAATTAACTTGTTATCTCAAAATGACTACTTATGTTATCTTGAGATCACAAGATAAATAACTTGTCTCAAGATGACAACTTTTGTTATCTCGGGATACCAAGATAAATAATGAGTTAGTTATCTTGTTAGCTCCTTGTTATCTTGAGATCACAAGATAATTAACTCATTTTCTCAAGATGACAACTTTTGTTGTAGTGATGTTTTTGTAGTAACTTTTGTAACTAATTCAGTTATCTTGTTATTTTCTTAAGAAAAAATATTTAACTCATTATTTCAAGACGACAACTTTGTTATCTTGAGATCACAAGATAACTAACTTGTTATCTCAGGATGACAAGTTTTGTTATCTTGAGATAATAAGATAACACTCGTTATTTCAAGATAATTAACTTGTTATATCAATATAACAATTTAGAAACTTATAACTACCTTATGGTCTCTCTGGACTTTCATAGAAAGCATATTTAAAAGAAAATTACACCAAATCATCAACAACTAAATATAATATTATTTTTTTTCAGTATTAGGGTGTCCACTCTTGTCTTTATTACGACTTCCAATCTTTTCAGGAGATTTTCTTTCATCTCTTAAAAAGGAATCTGCAGGGATGTTTTTCCACACCTCCAAAGTTCAGTCTTACAGGATGATTGTATTTTCTGCCTGATACAATCCAAGCAATCTCAATAACAAATATGAACTAATTAGTCCATAAAACTTTCTTCTTTTTGGTGTGACTCCTTTTTTCAGTGAGGCTTCTTGACAGCTACACATCCTTTCAGACTCATACCACTGAGTCGTATTCTCACAGTGGAAGGATTGACAGAAACACCTGTGGATGTTTTCAGATCTGAAGCAAAAGTGGAGCTTAATTTTCTTTCAGTGCTGTTTATCTGATGAGGACAGTTTTGTTGGTCTACCGGATGTTCCAGGTGGTTGTTAGGAGTCCTATTTTCTCTCCAGTTTTAGAATCATTTGTTTTTTTGCTTGTTTCCTTTAACCTTTACAAAAGTATGAAAGTGGATTATCTAATGTCTAATCTCCTCAGAAATATCTCCTAAAAATGAACCTGTATATAATGTCCATTTTATCTGGAGTTGAAATAAATGAAGCGTGGTCTATAACTTTTGCCCATCATTGTATATTCAGAGTGGTTCGACTTAATATGGTTCACTGAAGAGAAACTTATTGATTTATTGACATTTTACTAAATATTTGATAGATAGATAGACGTAGTACAGTCTTTAATGTGTAGTGTCCCACAGGTGTCAGTACTTGGGCCAATTAAATTCACATAATCACAATTATGTTTTGTGCTGATTTTGTTAATAAGCAAAGGTTCATCATTTGGATTATTTGTCTGAAATGTGTTGTTCTTATTGTATTCATTCATTGTTTTCCATTTAAAAACTGACACAAAATCTCTGATTTGGCTTCATGTATGTACTTTTGAGCATAATGTAATGTGTTTTATATATAAAAACAAATGCTTGTTGTTTCACTTAGGGATGTTAATGGTGGTGATGATGCATAACATTGTAGCAGTATAAAACAATATGTGTTTTCAGTAACTGACCATCTGTTTGTTGCATCATTTTTCTGGGTCCATTGGGCTTCAGTAGTCTTGGTTTATGTCTAAAACATGACTGGTTTCCAACCCTCTTAAATTCCTTGTTTATTCAGAGCTGGATATTTTTTTAGTCAACAGGGAAAAATAGTACAAACAGGTATATATATATATATATATATATATATATATATATATATACACACTCTACCATACTCTATTTATATATTAAGAGTATTTAGATTTAGATTTATATTTAGATATAACAGTAGTACATACTTTGTTAACAAACCTCAAATACAAGGGTAATGTAGTTCTATTTCTTTCTTTCTTTCTTTCTTTCTTTCTCTCTTCTTGCTTCTTTTTTTCCTTTTTTAGTTCTTTCTTATTTTCTTCCTTCTTTTGTCTGTTTTTTCCTCTTTCTTCTTTCCCTTATTCCAGTTTGTTCTACCCTTCTTTTCTTTCTTCTTTTTCTTCCATTCATCCTTCTTTTATCTTTTATCTTCTTTTGTCCACCCTATTTCCTTTGTCTCTTTTTCTTATTTCCTTTCCTCCTTTTTTCTTTCTTTCCTTTATCTTGCTTCTGTACTCTTTCCTTTTTTCTATTCTTGATCTTTTTCTTCCTCCCTTGCTCCTTTCTTGTTTGCTTCCTTTTTCTTTATTAGTTCTTTCTCTTTTTCTTCCTTCTTTTATCTTTTCTTCTCCTTTTTCTTTCCATCATTCCTTTTTTCCTCTGCCCTTCTGTTCTTTCTTCTTTTTCTTCCATTTCTTATTCTTTTAACTGTCCATGTTGTTCCTTTGTCTCTTTTTCTGGTTTCCTTCCTTTTTTTTTTCTCTCTGCTATTCTGTATCTTTTTCATCCTTTTTTCTTTCTTTTTCTTCTTTTCTTCTTTTTTTTTGTTTTCTCTGTCCTTTTTTCTTCTGTCATCCTTTTCTCTCTTCATTTCCCTTTTTTCTGCCCTCCTGTTTTCCTTTGCTACTTTTTCTTATTTCCTTCCTTGCTTTTGTTCCTTTCTTTCTCTTCCTTCCTTCTTTCTCTTTCTTCTATCTGTCCTCATCCTTCTTTTCTCTTTCATTCTTCCTTTCCCTTTTTCCTCACTATTACTTTTGAATTCTATGACCCATTACATAGAAACATTATTTTATGGTATTTTCCTGCCCTGCATTCACTGTATTTCCTTCATGAAGTGTAAATGTAAATCTAGTGTAATGTTTAGAGCTCAGCTGCTCCTCTTTTCAACACCATTATGCTGGTGGTATGCTTGTTGCTACAGGTGACAAACATGGATGATGATCCAAACTGGTACACAGCTGAACTGTCAGGGAGGAGGGGCTATGTACCCAAGAACTATATCAATGTAAGGCCTCACGCGTAAGTATCAAACTGAATCAATGTGAATGAAAGTGTTTGTGAATGTGTGTGTGTGTGTGTGTGTGTGTGTGTATGTATGTCAGGCCTGGCATCAGAATTAAATCATGAGTGGGGCATTTGAAAACCACAGAGGGGACAAGGGGACGGTGTGGGATTGGGTGGCGCATCCACACAGCACGAAAAACAAAACAGATATGGAGCACACTGGGTGAAATTGTATGCCAGATTTTTTCAACAGAAAGAATCAACAGGAGAGCCATATTTACATTAATGACATCTGTCTGCTGATTTATCTTCCCATAACATGCAGCACCTCCCCAAAATGCAACAAATATAAAGTGATGAATGTTAATTGATGTAGCCTTTTAAATATGGTGAACTGTAGAAGTTTAGTTTCACTTTGTTTTTTGCCACTTACTACATAATATTGGGTTTAGCAGGGCATGATGATACAGTTATGGGCCACTGCCCCACAAAATGACCCCCGATGTCAGGCCTGATGTGTGTTGGTGTGTGTGCATTTGTATGTTCATCTTTCGGTCTTTTGCAGTGGTGGACAGCAACAAACTAACTATATTTTTCATGTAATTTACTAAAATAAAATATCCTACATTTCACTCTATTACTTTCTGCACAGAAGACATTGGATTTTCCAAAATATTCAAAAAGAAAGATTAGGTTAAAGAAAACCAATCATACATACAAGGCAGTAAATCTAAGTGCCAACTAAACTGGGCCAGTCTCCAATGTTGGGTATTTGTAAATCAGAAAGACATTGTCCAGAAGTTTTGTTGGGAGAGTGGCATTTTACCCATTTCCTGAACTGAAGTCACAAGAGATGAGTTGTACAATGTGGATTAAACACCATGGGAGGCTACAATAACTAGAATAGCTAGAATATCACACAGTACCTTTACTTTTTAAGAGTAATTTATAATACCAATTTGAGTACTTTGTCCACCACTTGTCCACCAGATTGTATAAACGCATATTTTTTTAGGCATGTGAATAGTGAAGCTAAGTAATTAGCTAAGTTTTCTTTCCACTTGAGAACATCTATGTATACTATAAACTCAATTTCGAATAAGTTGGGACAGTATATGAAATGCCAACAAAAACAGAAAGCAGTGATTAGTAAATTCTGTTTGATGTGTATTATAATGAACACTGTACAAAACACAAGATTTTGTGTTTAACTTTGTGAAATTGATTGTGCTTTTGTAAATATATGCTCACTTCAAATTTGACACCTGCAAAATGTTCCCAAAAATTCTGGGACAGGAGCATGTTTATCACCTTTCCTTTTAACAAGACTTAATAAGCTTTTGGGGACTGAAGACACAAACTGACCAGTTTTGAAAGCTGCACGACCATACAGGGCCTTTGTTGTCATATTTTAAGCTTAATAAGACACACATTTTCGATGGTAGACAGAAAGTGCAGTGTGTCTGATTACGTAGCCATGCTGTTGTAACACATGCAGAACGTTTCTTGGCGTTGTCATGTTGAAATAAGCATGGGTGTCCCAACAAAGATAATGCCTAAAAGGCAGTATATGTTGCTCTAAAACATGTTCAGCATTAATGGAGTTTTCACAGATTACCCACTAATACTCCCCCCATACTGTGACCCTGGCTTTTGAACTTTACGCTGATAAGAATATGGACGGTCCTTTTGTTGTTTGGCCCATAGTGCATTATTTAGATAAAAATCTAAAGGTTGAGCCATCAATACATGTTTCCATTGTGCATCAGTCCATTTCAGATGAACTCAAGCCCAGAGAAGTCAGCGGCGTTTCTAGACGTTGTTGATATATGACTTCTGCTGTGCATAGTACAGTCTTAACTTGCATTTGTGGATGTAGTGATGGATGGTGCTTATTGACAACGATTTGTCTATTTCTTATACCACTATATTTATCACAGAAACATACTGGTTTTAAATGCAGTGCTGTCTTAGGAGTTGAAGCTGTGCATTCATGTGCATTAATTTGTGGTTTTTGGTCTTGTCCTTTATGCCTAGGGATTTTGCTGGATTACCTGAATGTTTTGATGTATTTATGCACTGTAGAAGGTGAAGTGCCTAAAATCCTTGCCATCCCTGGCTGAAGAATGTTATTGTTAAACTGTTGGATTTTTGCTGTAGCATTTTTGGCAAAGTGGGGAGCCTTGATTCATCCTTGCACATAAAGTATTCAGCCTGATTGCATCACCTGTTTAAGATGTTTATGAACATTTCACAATGTTCCTAGTCCCAAATTTTTGAACATGTTGCAGATGTTAATTTCAGAATTAACATATATTTACAAAAACAATGATGTTGATTTGTTTTTTTTTTGTTGATTTTTTTTTTTGTTTCCTTTTTTTTCAAATACAGGTCAAAGAACACTTTTAAATCACTGCTTTCTGTTTTATTTGCATTTCATCTACTGTCCCAACTTTTCTGGATTTGGGTTTGTATATAAGTACATATACATATATTACGTGTATGTGCTATATTTGTATATTCTAACTTGTACACATTTAAAAGAACATGTAATGGAGCTTATACTGCAATAATTGTCTTGAGTTGAACTATTAAACTGAGAAAAAAAATGAAGAATTAAAAAAAATACATTTTTGAGGGCAAGAATATTTCTAGTATAAAAGTCTCAGTTGCAGTGGCTATGATATCTTGCCAAGTGGTTATAATTTAACCCCTTTGAAAGCTTATTATTCAGTATCTACAGGGATCTCAGTGCAAACTGACTGAGCTATTCTTTTGGGCCCATAGGTGAGCCCTGATAATTTAAGGTGTTAAATATATTCTAATATAGTAGTCTAAAATAGATCTAATATTTCTCAGTGTGAGATAGTTGTAAGGGTGTTATATGTTTGTTCAATGTCTAGCCATTTATACTTCAGGTCTGAAATGATTTGTCATTTTATCTATAATTAAATGATCTTATTCCACTGATAGGCAAGTTTGTTCACACTTATCATCATTTTTCATATCTGTAGCAACAGTTCATGTATCATTTTTGAATAAATCTTCTGAGCAGAATAAATTGTCGCTCAGCAGATGAGCTGATAAAGTGGTGTTGAGCCAGATGCTCTTGTGTCCTGAAGGTGGTTTGTGGGAGGAATATCTCGGCAGGCCGCAGAGAGCCGGCTGAGGCCACTGGAGTGTGGAGCATTTCTCATCAGAGAGAGCGAGAGCACACCGGGAGAGTTCTCAGTGTCTGTCAGGTGAAAATCACAGATCACACACACACAGACACAGTTTTGTTATTTTGAACTGTGGGGCCATTACATAGACTTCCAATCATTTCTTGGAGATTTACCCAAACCTTAACCAGAACTACCACTTGCCTAACCCTTACCCAAACCCTAACCTTAACCTTAACCTTAACCTTAACCTTAACCTAATCCTAACCTTAACCTTAACCTAATCCTAACCTTAACATTACTCTTACCTTAAAAGTTAGTGATTTACATTGTGAGGACCTGCTTGTGGTCCCCACAAGGAAGAAAGGTCCCCACAATGTGAGTGTATGAACAAGTTTTGGTCCCCACAATGTGGCATAAATCTGGTCCCCACACACTCATTTGCCAGTTTTCTGTTGTTGTCAGTTTTAATACTAAGGCTGAAATGGGCTTTTGTGAAAATCACAAAGCAAACATCTAACATTACTTCAGTGAATCAAAGATAAGACACAGATGGACCATAAACATTTTTAATTGGCTTTGATGAATAGGTTTAGGGTTTTAAGATTGCTTTGTTGTTTGTTTGTTGTCTTTGTGCATCTCAGTGGTCAGATATTTTCTCAGTTGTGTCATAGTCTTTGGGTCCACATACTGTGCCAGTAAGCTTTATCCAAGAATAATTAGATTTAGGTTTTTGAATGTTTTTCTTTGTCTATGTACATCTTAGCTGTCTGAATTTAACTCTGTTATGTTGTCTTCATTGAGTGAACAAATTACTGTATTGCAGTGTTTGTGGTGTTTATGTGGATCCAGTATTCTGGATGATTGCCAGAATATGGTGATATTGCCATAGGAGGTGGAGTGTATAGAGTAATTTAGGTGTTGAAATGAACAGGATTTAGATGAAGATCTAATGAAACTGCTTGACCTGAACCAATATTGACTAGATCCTTGACCTAGTTCTATATGAATGTCCAGTACCACTTTCTTTGACAATCCAGGTAATTAACCAACCAAATAACTCGTTATTTATTCTTTTTCATGGTTAGTAAAGGCTTCCATGAATGTCCATAAGATGTGAGTGTGTGTGTGTGTGTGTGTGTGCTTGTCTAACTCTATCTGGCATTTTGTTAACACACGCTCTAATTGGAATGGAGTGTGTGGTACTGTTTGGACCCCGAGGCTCTCAGGCTGCTGTGATGTAATCCTCTCGCTCGCAGCGCTCTGGAACCCATTTAAACAGTTCTGTGTTCTCTCTGTGGAACTCGGAAAGCCATTTGAGTTCAAGGCATGAAATAAATATTGTGTTACGTAAATAACGCTATTCAAATTTTACCACTACTACTGTAACACTACTGCTACTACTTATTGTTATGATTATTATTTATGTGTGTGTGTGTGTGTGTGTGTGTGTGTGTGTGTGAGTAAATCATTACAATTAGTGCCAATCCAATTTGTTAACATGCTGAAGGTACAATAACTATACAATCATCTGCAAAACTTTAAACATTTTCAGTCAAATTCCATTTTTTTTGTTGATTTTATATGTGAAAATAAGTTACTAAGTTATAAATTATTGGGGGGAAAAACAGAAATTAGAAATTGTGCCATAAAATTTTCCCCGGCCATATTTTTGTATGAAAATCAATAAAACCTCATCTGACCAGCCCAAACATTTGAACCTGACTGTATATATTACAGTGGATTGAAAAGCTTGAATTTTACAACAAAAAAAAATTAAGATGAGGAAAAAAGAATGGCATTCTAGGACCTAGACACCAAATATTACTTCAGTGATAAAAATGTTCTCTAATTATCTGCTTTCTGAATGCTTCACACATAATGTTATACAGATTTCCTGTTCTTCTTAAGTCATACATGACTGATTTTTTCATTTCATTTAATCCCTACAAAAATAATCACATTATGTTTCAGTAGTGACAATTTTAGCTCATTTTGAGTAGAACTCACTCATGACTAGCTGCGTTTGTATGACTAACAGACACAGCTTTGAACAGTCACACACATAAAATCTTAATATTTTTCATTAAAACACAAAAAAGTTTAGGTAACTGCAGAAAATGTGTTTCGGGAGTGACAATTCTCAATGTTTCACACTGATTTTCAGGTAGTGGGACATATTTACTTCAAAACAATGGAATATAACTGCTCACCACGTGGCCATGAGGGGCAGGGATGCAGTCTAAGTTACTGCTCTGAAATGCAGGGGCATGGCTAAAAGAAGCCTCTGCCTGTGGGCTAAAACTCTTTGTGTTCCAGCAGTGACAATGTGAGACTGCATAGTAAACAACATTGAAAATAAATACAAAACAATGTAAGAATAATTTTTGGGTAAATCTAGCGGTTAGGGTTCGGGACAGACACCTTTCAATAGAAAATGCCCTAAAAATTATGATTTTGTGTATGTTTAGCTTATTACTAGCTCTATTAATGCCTTTTATTTAAATAGATCATAATATAATCCTTGAAAATGAAATTGTCTGAATACTTCATTGTTTTTTAAAGAGTTTTTTACTGTGGGAATGCAGTACTAATTTGGTAGAATGGTCCAGATATCACAACCCTTAGTTCCTGTCACCACCACTGTAACAAAGTCACTAAGTTCCTCCAGATCTAACCACTCTGAGGGACTTTGTTTACATCTCAGCAAAGAAATTATGCAGATATTTGGAACTCTTCTTTAATGGCTTTGTTAATTTCATTGCTTTTACTATTGTGTTTGTTTATTATCTTATTCAGTATTTCAAATAAGCTTGTTTTTCTTTGCCTTGCACAAAGAAAAACACACAGGCACTCAAACAACCTCCCGCACACATTCTGAAACATCTGCACTGGCCTTAGGTACTGCAGCTTATTATGCAGCACAGAGCTAATATTATGTGGCAGAGTTGGTTCGTTTTTTTGTGCTGCTGTTTGCTTTGCTGAAGAGCATATCTCTGCTTTCGCCTCTGCCTTCTTCTCCCTGCATAGTTTGACATTCAGCTTTAAGAAGATTTGAAGGGACGGCTTCTAAAAATAATCCAGATACGTACAAAACAGGGCTCGTGCTGCACTACTCTGAATTGAATCTACCGTCGCCTCTGATGTTATAAATAACAGAAAAGCCATTATTCCAGCACATCTCATGAGATTAGAGTTTAAAACAGTGCAGTTGCTCCGCCCCCTCCCTCTCTCTCAGTTCTCTTGAGTAACACGTGATTGCTCATCTCCCTTTCTTGCTGATGACCTCGAGCTGGCTTCTGTGGATGTGGAGGCAAGCGTACTGGAGCATATTATCCTCATAATTCAAATTCACCAGGCTTCAAAAAATGATAGCATCTTAACTGTGTGTATCATCGTTTTCATATCAAAGTCATTCTTGCCCTTTACGGTGTCTGAACATTTCATGAATGGACCAATAGAAAAGGTCTAAAATAAAACCTTATTACATCAGTGGCAAGTACTGTGCAAAAGTCAGAGACCAACCCTTTCGTTTTTTTTTTCTTTCCAGTCAAAACAACCATTAATCCATTCACTTTTTAGCGTCAGAACACATATAGACAATATGGCCAAAAGTATGTGGACACCAGCCTGTAACACTGATATGAGCTTGTTGGACATCCCATTCCAAAACCATGGAGTCACCCCCTTTGGCAGCTATGACAGTCTCCTATCTTCTCAGATGGCTTTATATAAGATTTTGGATTTGGATTTTGAATTTTGTGTCAAAAGAGCATATGTGAGGTCAGACACTGACATTGGACAAGAGGGCCTGGCTCACGATCAATGTTCCAAGTCATCCCAAAGGAAGTCAGTGGGGTTGAGGTCAGGGCTCTGTGCAGGCCACTGGAGTTCCTCCACACCATACTAGTCAAACTATGTCTTTATTGATCTCACTTTGTGCACAGGGGTACAGTCATCCTGGAACAGAAGAGGGTTTCCCCAAACTGCTGACATAAAGTTGGAGGCATAGTCTAAAATGTCTTTGTGTGCTGTAGCATTAACATCACCCTTCACTGGAACTATGGGGCCCAAACCCTGAAAAACAGCCCCAGACCATTATCCCTCCTTCACCAAACTTTACTATGCATTCTGATATGTAGCATTGTGAGGAGTTACTCAGCCATGGAAACCCATTTCGCAGTTCTTGGGCTGATGTTGCTTCCAGAGGAAGTTTGGAACTGTGCACATATCACAAAATAACACTTATAGTTTTCCAGGGCAGATTTAGCAGAGCAGAAATTTCACTTGTGGGAATGTGGAATCCTTTGACAGTCCCCGCTTTTAAAGTCACCGAGCTCTTCAGTATGACTCATTCCGCTGCCAGTGTTTGTCTGTGGGCAGTGAGAAATAATGACCTTATCTGAATTAGCTAGCATTACTTTGTAGCGTATTCACTGCCATGCTTGTCACATTAAAGATAAAAGCTTTCACCCATTTTCATTTTATCACTAGCTAGCCACCTTGATTATCTCATTGTAGTATATAAAGAAGCAGGAAAAATACAGCTAGAGTTTGTTTTGGGCTGGTCTGTAAATCTAACTGGTCTGAAAACACTGACTCTGGCCCTGGACCAGCCTGAAGTTTAGGTTCAGGTTTTGGGTTAAGGTTTATGTTTGGGTTTGGGCAAATTCAGGTAGAAATAATGAATAATTGGTAGAATCTAAGTTAAAGGCAAGGCAAGCCACTACAAAACAATTACTGTAGGCTATTCGAGTAATAGGTCTCTACCCGTTGTATCTTTTAGTGTGTATTCTTTACCAGGAACTTGCGGGAACCTTTCTTATTAAAGTGTGAAAGTGGATTATCTCATATCTGATCTCCTCAGAAATATCTCCTGAAAGATGAATTATTTGTATTTAGGAAAATTTCTAATTTTGAAGGGTGGTCTCTGACTTCTGCACAGTAATGGACATTAAAGTTTTAAAGTTAAACCTTTTTTTGCTCTGTTCTCATTCAGAGCTAAAAGAAACTTTTTTTCTGCACAAACTGCATGGTGGAGAGGTACAGCTGGACTGAGGAGCAGACAGAAGCATTTTCAA